CAATCCAGCAGTACAGATTCAAACACTACAGCTGCAGCGTCAAACCCTCACGCACACACCCCTACAAACACAACGAACAATGTTTTCAGGATGCTGCCTGCCAGCTTCTCCAGAAGCATGCTAGCAGAATAGAGTTATTTGCCAAGGCGTTATTCCAGTAAACAGACTGTTTTCCTGATACCTCTCTGCTTAACCCCTTCCCCAGCTCCCAGGCTCTCCACGTTCACAGCCAGCAGCAGGAGTGCTCGGCCTCAGCACAGGCAAGGTACCCTGAGAAAGCAGAGCACAGCTCAGTGCCTGCTCCAACACGTCTCCTCCCTGGCCTTTGCCCTCCCTCCCGCTCTGCTCGGTGGGAAAGGAGAAAGCTGATGCTCACAGAGACCACTGTCTCCAGGCCAGTACTCCCAGGGCAGACAAAGACTGATATCAGTTTCGTGGGAGACCAAGCTGGAGCCAGCAGCTGGATCCTGCTGCGAGCAGCACCAAACCCCAAGCGGCCTGGGGCTTGGTCATTAGCAAGCAGTTTGAACAAACATCATTATAATCTGGTCTATGCTTAACAATGAGTACAGCTGTTGACAATGAGCTGAAGAAAAGGTCCAGTTCAGAGTCTGAGGCCAGGGAGACCACTGGACCTCCCATTGATCTCAGTGTGCCACAGACATTAAATCTGGACAGCAGCTATGAAGCCAAAGGCACAGCTCCCGCTGGCAGCCACTTCCCTGGACATGGTGCTGCTTATTCACCCACACCAGCCATCCATGTTTCCCCCCACCACACACAGCCGTGTCCCCACAATGTGCTCCTGCAGCCTGCAGCTCGGGGAGACCCTGAGGCTTGGTGTCAATCAGACAGAAGCTTGCCATGATGTCCTCATCCATGAGGAAATCCAAAACCTATAACATCCTGCAGCAAGGAGCTCCATAGATCACAGCACTGTTTCAAACCCACTTCTTACCAACTCTGATGCCCCCTAGTTCTTGTACAAACATCTGCCTTGCATGGCTTGTGGCTTCATGGACCACCCAATAACTCCCTTGGCCAGGCACCCCCACAGACTGGAGGGTCCCAGTCAACGAGGCTTGTCCCATACAGAAGCCACTGCCCTTCTCCAAACCTATTCCATTTTTTTTCCAGCAGACCACGTTGATATGCCATAAATTTCAGCAATACATAGTCATCATTGCCACTCTTCTCTTTCCTTGTAGCTCCACATCTTTGTTTAGTCACGCAGAAACTTATCCGCTTCTCCCACTGCTGCTTAGTCCTCTTACAAGCCACTTACGTTACCAAATGCACCTGCAGACCAAACTCTTAAATTTTCAGGCACCAAGTCCCCACGTGCCTCTACAGCACATGGAAGATGCGGTGTGCTGCATGAGGACAGCAGAGCCCAGGGGCCCTTTGCAGCTTGTGCTCATCTTCCCACCCTTGCTCACAGCTTCTGCCTTCAGGCTGGGCTGGATAGTGAGAGAGAAACCCCAAGAATGCAGCAGGGGACAAGGAGGCCATGTTTAGAGATGATGCTACTCCCTAGGAAGAGAGCCACTGTTTGTACAGTCAGGAAACCCTGCTGCCTCCAATTTGTCAAATACCATCTTCAGTCAACTTCTGCTAAATACCCTCACTCTGCATGAGGCACAGTACCTTCAGCCAGGTTTCAGAGCCTCCCCTGAGCTAATGGACTCCACTCCTCTGTCCAAGCTGGCAAAGAGAAGCCACAAAGCTGCTTCTCCCTCACATCTCATTTTCTCTCTGCTTCTTCTCCCACAGGGTCATCCTGCTGCAGCATAGGCAGCAAAACCAATGAAGTCGAACACCAAACAGTAGTTTTCAAAGCTCTGCCCAAGCTTCTGGATGCTGACATCTCTCCCTTGGCCCACCAGCTGATGAGGATAACCACTCGCTAAATTAATTCTTTCTGAAAACTACCTGACTTGGACCAAGGATGGGGGCCAAGAATTCCCTGTGAAGCTCACAGCAGCCCTTATTTCACCTCAACTCCTCCTCCCCTTGCCTGTGCCACCAGGAAGGTGTTAAAAGCTTGCCGGGTTCTCTGAAGTTAAACAACTAAAATGACAAGTGATTAGAGAGATTGAAGCCAGTTGGGAACATTCCTTCTGGATGGGTTTATTGAAAAGGAAAATTAAAAGGTCTGCATCCTTGCTCTCCTTCCTCCTTGCCCTGCTCCGCAAGTCTCAGGACCATTTCATGCTAGCATTGTCCTTATCCTGGCAGGCCCTCCTAATCCTGAACCTGCTTGTCCTCTCCCTGTGTAACCTTCCCATCACTTCTCCCTTGCAGAACCATTGTGATGGATCAAGCCCTGGTCCAGCTCCCCAGGCCTGGCCACAGTACATTGAAACGGCATTTATGAGCCTTGAGCACAGACAAGAGTTATGCAGTCTGCACTTCTGTGTGCTGCATACCAAGTCCCCAGCTGGTTTAAATCAGATTAACTCCACTGACATAACACATTTAAGGCAAGAGTGTTCCATGATTTACACCAGCTAAGAAGCTGTTATAATATAACTTGGCAACTGCAGGTTTTAGATCGGGAAGTTTTTTGGGCAAGGATCCCAAGCAACAGTGAACGACAGAGCAGCTGACTGGCAAACCCCATTTATCCTCAGTGCAATATGCATGCAGCTAGCACGTGTTCCACAAAAATCCTAAAAAAAACCCAACAAAAAACTATTGGCCCACAAAGTCAGTGCCCTGTCACAACCCAAAGACTCCAAACAAATCGCTAAGTCATGATACTATGGAAATGCTTCCCTTCAAAAAATGTTAAATTTGGAAAACTAAAGCCAAGCAACTTTAATGCAAAGGTTGCTAGCTGCTGAAAAAAAATATAGACTGATTAATGCAGATGCAAACAAATACACAATAGAGTTCAATATTCAGATCAGGGCCTTCATTTCTGCTGGAGGATGCTCAAGCTTCCCATCAAATCTGTCTTCCACAAAAAACCAGTGCTAATGCCATGGAGCCAGATGGGCTTGGAGAGGTGCAGAAAAAGACACACAGCATTCAGGGCAGGAGAAACGCACCAAGGAAAATGTAGATAGTGCCTCAAAAGGAAGGCTTGGCCCTTTCTCCTCCAACTTAGCAAAGTGGATTCTCCAGACCAGTAGATGCTGGCTTGTCAGAGCCAGGAGAGCAGCAGGAGCCCAGTGCAATTCCCACACCACCAACAAGCCTGTGAGTGGGCAGCAGAGCTGCAGCCTTCCCTGATGCCTCCAACCCAGTGCTGGCTGCACAGGGAAGGGGCCAGGGAGCCAGGCCAGCCCCATAAATCACCAGCACACAGCACAGTAAATCTGACCTCCCTTGCAAGGGAAATATAAATCAGCTTTACTAACAGCTTCTGAAACAAAAACTAAGATCATGAAACTGTAAAAATGCCTCTTTAAACATCCTGTGCCCTGAACAGACCACTGAAAGTCCCATCAGGATGAGGGAGAGCAAATAGAGTCGGGTTGATGAATTGAGAAAAGGTATTTCAGACTGAGCAGCTTCTTACTGGCAGGCAGCATGACATGGATATCTTTAGCACACAGTAAAGACAGAGAAGGGAATTGGGAGGAGTGAATTAGCCAGCATTAATACCATCATTTGTACGCAGTGTACTTCAAAGCCCTTGCAGTGCAGACAGCACCAGACACACAAAAAATCACCCAAGTTTGATGGAGAGTGAAGTATAGCACATTTGCTGGAGCCCACATAGTAATAATCAGCGGAGGCTGGATGGGACCCTCAGGGCCACCACTGTCCCACTGTTTAAGGAGTTAGTGGGGGATGGCCATGCCAGGAGGACAACAGTAAGTCCACAAAGGACAGTGGAAGCCTCACGAAGCAGTGCAGAGGTAGGAACTACTGGGTAGAGCCAAACTGGGCAGGACTCAGCAGGGGCACAGGGGAGTTATATCTGCTCCCATCTCAACAACAGTGCACCTGAAACCCCTGGTAGGAGGTCTGCAGGGAACATTATGGCTGGGCAGAGGCTCCAGATGCCAGCAGTGCTAGCCACAGGAACAGCAATTTCAGCAAGACACGCGTGGGAACTAGCCATCACCACGGAATATTCACAAACGACTTAAGAGGCTGGTCACCTCCTCCTAGGGCAGGTGTACAGCCAGGCAGGATCCTGGGGTCCTTGTTACCACTGCCACCTGCACCCTGCCATGGCCCAGGCAGGATGTATGGCCAGCCCAGGAGGGGATGCTGCCATCACCAGTGTGTCAGGCCAGTGAGGCAGCCGACAGGGAGAGCCCAGGGACCAGCACTGGGAATGGACCGGCAGGGTCAGGGGAGCTCCAGTGGAGGGGTTTGGAGCCCTGGGATGCAACACCCTCCTTGTGTAACCAGTCAAAGGCTAGACAGCATGCTGGTCCCAGGAGAGCCAGCTGTGTGCAGCCAGGGAAGGAAAACATGGCATCAGCTGAGCCAAGCCCCTTCTGCCAGCTGCCTTGTTTTCCTGTAGATTTATTGTTGTTCCCACAGTTGATAACAGCAGAGCAAAGGCACAATAAGGAAACTGAAGTGATCAGTGGCTGCTAATCAGCAAAGCTTTCCAAGAGCTCCCCGAAGCCCAGAGGAAAGGCTCAACAACTGCCCTGTGCCAATGCTCTGGAGCGCACAGCTGCACCACAGGCACACAGCACCTCTTTCTGCTGCCACCCCAAGGGTGAGGGGGGGCTGTAAACACACACAGGGCAGACACGCTTGCTCCTGTCTCACCTCTCCTACCATCTCGTGGCATGAGGGCATGGCCAGCTGCCATACGGCACAGAGAATCTCCTGTCACTCACACCAGTGGAGACCTGGATGTGGGCGGTCTTGGACTGATGGGTCCATCACTCTGTAGAGAGGAGCAGAATCCCAGAAGCCCACCCCAGAAGTTTACTGACTTTGCATTTCAAATAGTATTGGATAATATCTCTGTGCAGAAGAAAAAGAGAGCCTGTGTTGCTGGAGGCAGCTCAGCAGAGGCTTACCTTTGGGCATGATATGATGCATTGCAACCGACAAGAAGAAGATGGAGTCGCTGTAGTAGGTCCCTGATCCAGCGCTGAAATGTTTCTGCATGGCTTCAACAATGGGAAACAGCTTTTCCGTCAGCTCATTCACGTTATGGACTATTACCTGGGAGAGACACCAGAATCACCATTCAGCTGCTACCTCTGGGGACTGGCCCAGCTCCAGCAGCCTTTGCTCAGCCCACACTGGAACAGGGTAAGGGGGTAGGTTGTTAAAGCACAAATCATGCTGGTGGCACTGCAGCTGCACAAGGGGGCCTGGCTGCACTGGCCCCTCTATGTCCCCTTGCCACAGGAGCCAGTCACGTGTGGCAGGGAAAAGGGGGAAGGACTTTTACAGCCATTTCATAACTGTAAGATGGGCAGAAACTCAAATCCACTCACACAACCAAGAGTGTTCCATGTTTTGTGTTTTTTTCTGTTCCCACTGCCTGATGAAATCACATATCTGGTGTCCCATATGGAGTCCATCAGAAGAGGTGATAGTTTGCTTCAGGCTCTGGCATCATGACGCTTAGAGGTCAGACCCTGTCACTTACTCCGAGGACCAAGGCTTGCTCCCTGCTACAGAGGCAGGCTGTGACAGGGCCAGGATGCAGCCTGGATTTCCTGAACTTCAGCCTGGCATGGAGGCAATCTCTGCAGCACATCCCACCAGGGCTGGAGGGGGGAAGGGAGGACGGGCTGCAGCACGTGGATGGAAATCCAAACATTATAAGTTACAGCAGAGCTGAGTAACTGCTCTACATGGATCCCAGCCCACCTGTGCTGGAGCTTTGCTGGTGCTCAGCCAGCACTGCTCTGCACCCCTCAGCCCTGTGGGAGCCCATGCACCAGCACAGGCCCTGACATGCCTGCCTGGATCATGGCTGTGGCCCAGAAACAGGAGCAACCCCAAATGCATCTTGTCAGCTACTGAAATTGTACAGGCTTAGAATTTATTTTGGTCAAAGTCTGATGAACAGGAACTTTCATGCAGCTCGTTATACCCACAGAAAGATACAGGTCACTGAATCACGCAAGATAATGAGAGGGATTTTTGGGATAATTAAGAAAGATGAGGGACATGACCCCGGTGCCGATAAGGGGGAGGAAGAGCAGGAAGTGTGGAGACTCGAGGTTGTGCTGCCTTCTTCAGGCCAGAGAAAACAGGAAGAGCCTTGCTGGAACTGAAGGCCAGCAAGAACACAACTTTGCAGGAATACTTGAATTTTGAACAGGGTAGCCTATCCCCCTTGTTTGAGGGATACCAGGACACTTCCCCAAGCTGGCCCTGCCTTCAGGAGGGAGCTCAGCCCACAATCTTTGTAGGTCCCTTCCAAACTAAACTATTCCAATGGCTCTACAATTTCATTTCTTTTCCTTACTAAAACTTCATCTGCTTAAGAAAAGGGGAACATGCAGGAGAGAGAATTTACTTCTTTTTAATTAAAAAAAAAACATAAACCAAACCAAGTGCTTCAGAGAAGGCAGCTCTGGAGCCTGTGCTGGTGCAATGACCATCCCTTCTTTGGGGTTCACAAGGGGTTGCTTTGATGCCCAATGAGGCTGGCACAGAGGCAGTGAGCAATGTGGAGCTTCCTCCTTCCACAGCTTCTTGCAGAACACGTTACCCCAAAGTGCTCTCACAGCAGAGCAGAGCTCGCTAGGGTGCTGCTTGTGGGACCTGCAGTACACCAAACAAGGTGATGGGCCCATTCCAGCACTGGCCATGACGGCCAAGCCCACAGCAGGGTCCTGTTGGAGGAGAGGCACAGCTGAGTCCCCAGCTCTGGGGAGGGCACCCTAAAAACCCACCCTTGACTGCTGGCCCCTGCCATCAGCAAGAGAGCCCTCATGCAGGCTCTGTGGCCAGCGTGTCCCTCAGCAGGGCGGCCCCACTCCAGGCTCGGGGCCAAACGCCTGCAGCAGAGTGGCAGGAAAAACACAGAACAACATGTACCAGCAAAGTGCATTGGAAGAGCTCACCATTAGCCACACTTGGCTTTGGATAACACAGCATATTCCCCAAGATACTGCAGGGGAGGAAGCTCTGTTCCTGGTAACATTACGCAGCACCTCGCCCAGCCCTGCTGGCTGTGCCATCGCAGTGAGTGCTGGCTGGAGAGTGGCACAGCTATGGGGAGCAGATCAGCAACACCAAGTGCTGCTGCCAGCAGCCATCCCAGGTGACCAAACAAACAAAACACCATTACTCTCCATGTGCAAAGGCACCGACAGCCTGTGCATGGAGCAGAGCGCCATCAGCACCACCCCACAAAGGGGATGTGCAATGCTCTGCTCCCAGCCCAGCTTGAGTGGGGCAGCTTCAGGGTTTGGCTGGACTGGAGAAGCATGAAGGAGGAATGAAGCATCTGTAACACCCTTCTGCATTCAGCAAAGGCAGCCTGAAGTCTGTACAGCATGGAGGAAGGGTGGGGGGAGGGAAACCCAAACTAATTCTAGTCACCTCCAAAGAAAGCAGACTGCCAAGCATCACTGTACAAAAATAATGGGAGAAATACTCTTACTCCTCTCCTCACTGCTGACTTTAGCACAGCTAGTTGATCTGCTGCTAATTTTGTACTTCGTTATTTATTTGTGTAACAGCTTTTAGTAAATCCCTGTAGCTAAATCTGGCCATGTTTGCTAAGGACACTAAGAAAACTAAGTTCTAGGTGTTTCCTGCGCAAGAACAGTTTTATAAACACAAGTCCCACACTGCTAAAAGGCCCTTTCTACTGATTCACTAGGAAAAAAACCCAACACACTTCTTTTCTTTTTAACTTTGCCTCCTTCCCATGACGAGTATTCTCATAGCTCTCCACAAACACGGAGTGATGGCAGCCGAGTTACATTCACTCCCAGCAGGATCCGAACAGGGGACCGGGACGAGCAGCGAGCCGAGCACACGGTTCGTGTTACTGTGGCAGGGAAATGGAATCAATAAGCGATAGGAGCCGCACAAGGAGCGTGAGCACACAGGCTGGAGTGGTAGAAAACGGGGCGAGCCGGGGCTCTCTATAAGCACAGTGCCGACCGCCGAGGCTGGCCCAGGCTCTCTCCCGGGCACTTCCCGCTGCCCGGGAAGCAGGAGAGGCTGCGGAGATCACCCTGCGACCCGCGGGCGGTACACGCTCTCTGGGACTGCCAACATAAAGCCCTGGTAAAAACCCACAGAGCCTCCGCACGCCGGGGCCGGAAGGCCGAAGCACGGGCAGGGCGGCGCTTCCCAGCCCCACTTCCCTCTGGCCCGCTGCCGCACACGCGGAGCACGGGCTCCATCTGCCGCCACCGCCCGGCCGCGCTCCCGGGACACATCTGGGACACATCTGGGCATCCCTGCGGGATGGGTGACGCTACGTCACGCCCGCCCACGACCCTGCCCTGCCGGGAGGGTCCTCTGTCTGAGCTGCTCCCACCGCCGCTCTGCCCTCACCCTCCACGCTGTTCCCAGGCTGCTGCCGGCTGCTTCGGTCTCCAGGAAACTCTGAAAGTTCCTGAATCTGCTCAGGGAGAGACAAGAGCTGCCCCCAGCCTTCCCCATGGGTTAGGAACCTTCTCCATGGGTTGGGATCCACATCTGACTCTGGGCTTCACTCTAACAGAGGAGCCAAATGATCCCAGCTTTGCTAGAATGGGAAGGCAAGGGAAGTTCCAAAAGCTGAGCAAGAAGAATAAAAGTAAAGTTCAGAAGTTTTATCAGTCCTGCCTCAGCAGTTCTAGCTGTCCCCTGAGCACATTATCACGTCTCATCTCTGGGCCTGACCTAGGAAAACAGCGTAAGAACTAGAAGAGTGTTCTGGCGATAACAAGAGAAGGAGGGATGGAGATGGGTTACTACTGAGGATCAATCACCTTCAATATTTTAGCAGCAGCACCAAAGGTCCAAGCCAGGGAGATGTTTTCTGCAAGTAAAGAGGAGGAATGAAGTAGGCTACAGCAAGACTGAAGCAGTGCTGTCACCTGCTGGCATTCCAGAAACTGGCACCAGGATTAGGAGCAAGGTTGTACGCTTAAGAAGCAGGAACAATCTCTGCTCTGTACTGGGAGCTCCATCTAAAAGCAGAGAAGTTGAACAGATGTGAAGTGTACTGTCAGCAGCTAGCCAATAGAAACCAGGATACATCAGGCTCTGGAAGGAGAGGCGGAAGAAGCTGACGGAGTAGATCCCAGTGAGATCTCACCTGAGTCCTCCAGATCATGCTGCCTGCTTACACCCAAGAGATCAGTTCTGATGCATGACCTACTCACTGAGCCATGAGCCAGCTTTGCCTGCGAGTTCACAGAAACCTACAGACAGAGGCCCATCTGTAACAGACACATCACTGCATACCTCCAACTCCCAGCCCGTGTTGTCCTAGAGAAGCAAGGTCAGCAAGGCTGCCCAAAGAGAAGTTTATTTCCCAAAAGAGCAGATGGTATAAGGCAGCCACACACACAGAAGGGCTGACTGCACAGGTGATGCACACTATGGTGGCTGCAGGGGTCCTCCCACTCCAGGGGACATAATACCACAAACCTGAGCTGAGCTGTTGTACCACATCAGCACTGCACCATCGTGGGGCAATCGGTCCATCCTGCTGTGGCACACAAGAATCCTTCTGAGGTACTGGGCACCCCTTCCACAGAGCTGAGCACTGCTGACATGGTGTGGGTCACCCTCCACACGTATGTGACCTGAGTGTCAGCTTGTTTAAACAAAACAAGAAGTGGGATTATTTACCAGGAAAGTATCTCTATGAACAACATTAAGGTTACACCTCTGCTCGCATCACAGCAGAGTTCGGCTAATACTAAATAAGGGAAAGATGAGCTATAAAAAGTAACAGCAGGACTAGAGGATACTTCCAAGCAATGCTCTGCAGCACCACCTCAGGACAAGGGAGTCAAGTCACTTGGAGTCTCTGAACTTAACATCCTTAGTTTTCAGATACTTATTCGATGCAAAGAAAGTTTGACTTTGCACGGACTGCACTGGCTATGTTTTTGGGAGGCAGGACGAACATTCTCATGTGGATGCACTCCTGCCACGGCAGGAGCTCCACTCCCGTTCTCAAGAGCCACCGAGCCTCTTCTGATCATGATCCTGTAGGACACTCAGGAAGCCACTGACTCACGAGCATACGTGGTACTTGTGTTGAGATGCTGAACCAGGACTAACAGAAGGGTCTCTAAAAGAGTAGCAGTACTTAGAGCAACTGCTCCTTTCCAGCATAGATGGTTCGCCGGAGGTGTTCCCAGGCCACCCAGCCACCCAGTTTCAGGTGAGAATCCGTGGGCTGCACCAGGACACCAGCGGTGGGGAGCGTGGAGTCTCAGCCCACACAGAACAAGCCCCTCAAGATTCCTGAGCCTGGGGAGCGATAGGAGCTTCTCCAGCAGAGATGGAGAGTGAACGCCGCGCTCTGCAGGGAGCTGAAACACGGGCCGTTAGTTGAGAGAGCTTCCTCCCGCTAACGTGCTGTTCCCAGTGGCCCCGCAGGAAGATCACAAAGATCGCACAGGACACGTGAGCGCGACCTCGGAGCGCCCACTGCAGCGGGCAGAGCGCCGCTCTCTCCCGGCCCGCCCCGCTCAGCCCCCGCACACCTGGTGGCGGAAGGCGGCTCCGCGCAGCAGGTCCCGCAGCAGCCCCAGGCCGATGTCCCGGCTGGCGCCGTCGGTGACGAGGTGGAGGTGCAGCGTGTCGGCAGGGCCCAGCCGGCCGTGCCGCAGCAGCGAGCGCAGAGCCGCCTGCGCCTTGTGGCGGAGCGCGGGGCTGCCCTCCGCCTTGGTGAACATGAGCAGGAGGTGCAGCCCGCGGGCCCCGGCGCGGGCAGGCGCGGACGGCGTGGCCCGCAGGCGGCGGGTGGCGCTGGAGAAGGTCTCGCCGCCACCGCCCAGGTAGTAGAAGGCGCAGACGGCCACGGCCGCGGCGGCCGCCAGGGCCGCGGGCTGCGGACACCGCATCAAGCCCCGCCGCGCCGGGCCCCGCAGCGCCGCCATAGCGGAGGCAGCGCCGCCATCGCGGGGGCGGTGCCGCCCCGGGCCCCGCCCCCGGCCCGCCCCGAGCGGGGCGCTGGGCAGTCACAGCTTTAATGAGGCCGCCCCTTCACAGTGACAAACTACATTGACGTTTGCGATACAAAGTCTACAGCCGTACATAACGCGGAGTACACAGTTCTGGACAGTTACAGCTTAAAAGGGGAAGGGTTTTTTACATTTTACTGCTGGAATGCATAGATAAAGAAATAAAAGTTCATTATTTCAGACGGAGTAACCTCTCTGCTTGAGGAAATGATGATTTCTTGGAGATTTCTGTCGAAACATGGAAAATCTGGGATCCTAACAGAAAAGTGAGTGGAATTTTTCCTTCTCTGTCATCTCCTTCCATGGGAAGAGAAATAAGAAAATACAGTATGCAGAAAGGTAAAGCAAGCATATGAAAGGGAATATACCAAAGTGGTATACTCATGCTTTTCCCCAGCACTGCCTTTCTGGAGTTGTCCCTGTTTTAAAATTGTGCCTCCATGCAAGCACAACAGCAAGGCATGTCGGCTGTCAGGATGCACAAACCAGTGGCATCAACTCTAACTTGGGGAAAAAGTGTCCATGGTGAATGGGCAGAGGTCATAGACTGCAAAACTGATTCTCAAAATACTTTGTGTATTAAAGAATCAGAAAAATCAGCTCAGTCCTTTTGACACTGTAAAAATACCATGCCCGTGGTACTTATACCTGATTTGCAGTTCTATCAAAGGGTCCTTTCATAGTCACTGTGTCATTTGAGATTCTCATGATGAAGTAGCAGAGGTAACATCCACACTTAAAAACAGATGGCTACAGAGAAGCACCGAAGTCCTGGAAACATCATATCAATGCTCTGCTTATTCTAGTTCTCACCTTTTTTTCTTTAGTGCTACAAAGTTTTTGCTCTATCCAGGAGAACTAAGAATCTAGACAACACATATGTACTGATGTCATACTGCAAAACAGGAGAACTTCCTCTCTTATGGGGATTTGCTGACAGCAGTTGGAAGGTCTGGTTGCATTTTCTAAAACTATTTCAGCTCAGTATACAAACAGGTGAAATATAAAACCCCATTGAGTGAAAAATGCAGTATTAATACAGGGTCCTTTAAAACACTAACAATTAGAAGCCATGAATGATGCAATCCAGAGCCCCTGAAATCAGTGCAAAGACTGCCACTAATTTCAGTGATTTTCTGGATTAGGTCCTAATTGGCAAGGAGGCTGAAGCCTACTAGGTACTAATGAGCACTTGGAACACGTGTTCATCAGACTGCAACGTGGGCTGCTTTTGAAAGCAAAGAAGCACCTCCACCATCTACCACTTTCACCCAAATTCATGGGAACAAATTCCAGAACTCAGTGGCATAATACAGTATGATAATTCAGAAATTTAAGTTTATATGCACTGTACTGACATTAATATAAAACATGAAACCTTATAAACAGTCAAAACAATTGAGACACTAAGGAGACACCACAGACACTATTTTAACCAACATGCAATGGACATAAGTTATACCTCTGAAATCAAGATGCATTAGAATATATGTTGAGTTCCTCAACATTTGTCTTTCCAAGAGACTCTTGGAACATGTGTCTATAAATAGGAAAACTATTACACTATCTTTCAGTGGGCCATCTAGTAAATTACTAAAAATCCACGTGAAAGCTGATTTTTAAATGCGTTCAGAATCTACTGCTTTGTCCCTCACCAATTAAAGCCTACTATATTTCATATCTACATGGAAACATGAACTGGAATTTAAGCTTTCCATTGCCTGGTACAAACTACAACCTGTTAACCCACAATGGAACCTTATTGTTTACTATTCCAGTTATACTCAGATTAATTTTGTGATAAAAATGAAAGTTTCCTAATATTACTGAGCAGAAGGTTAGCACTTGAATCAAAACTTGATATGGCATCCAGATCTTCAGAGCCCTGGTGATAATCGTACATTATTACTGAGGGCTGAATGCTGTGAGCCACTGAAGCCATGGAGCACTGAGCCTGCAAGAGCCTGGTGGGTAATACATTCCATGTAACTTAATGGTGTATATTCATTTTTTATGATGAGCAACATGTATTGCACCTGACCTGGAAAAAGCTTTAACTGAATGCAGTTTATCCTGGACATCCTGGCGTACCTGAAAGGACTGAGGAACGAGGCTGAAGGATGAGCAGTGACATGGGTACTCCCTGAGCCGCTGAAACTCTCGTACTGCCGACAAGAGTCACACGACATGTCAGTCAGGTATGTGATTAGTCCCTTAGCACAGACAGACTGATACTGTTTCCCAGACAGATGGGAGTCAGGAATACAGCGTATGGATCTGCAGAGCTACAGGGAAGCAAGTTCGTCTAGAGAAGTCATCCTGCATAATTTTTCACAGAGATTTTTGTGGCTAGGAAGGAAATCACCAGTGGAGAGTTGAAATAAGTGTCTCAGGCCTTTTTCCAGCAGCATGGACCGAGACAGCAATTACACCAACAAGCTTTAGGCAGCTTTAGATTACAGCCAATCACACTACATACTGCCCATCACCTTGCTGCAAAAGATAAATATTTAGAAAAACCTATGTCTAAAGTGTACATTATATAGTCATATCTTACACTGTCCCTTCTGTACACTGGGAATCTTACCTTCTCTAAGATCTACTAAAACACCCACTTCCGTTAAATACTGCTGATTAGGAAGTATATTATCATTTCATAGACAGCTATTTAAAAACAACTTACTAAAAATTACTGCTTACAGGTGATATCCTTAAGTTTCTTATTATTCAGACTAAATGCACTCTTTGGGCAGAGTCTGCTTTTCCTAGCGTAATTAGACCACACGCAAAACAAGAACTGTAAGAACTTACAAGATTCTTCTGCTTGGAAAAATAGTCTAGTGGACAATTTTACAACACTATTAATTTTGCGACAATAATAATATCCAGATTTGATACATTATTATATATTTGATGCAAAATTATAAATGTTTGAAATACCTTGTTAAAATTTAACATGCCAGAAAGTTTAAATTTACCATAGTTTACAGATTTAATTTTTTTAACCCAATTTTGCTTATCTTTGCTTGGAGGAAATCCAATTAATTTCCTAAATACATTTAAACAGTAGGTTACCATAATGCCACGGCTATTAGGATTATTAAAAACTCACATTGATACTATATTATCTAAAACTTCTGCTAAAGTTGTCCATAGGGCAGACAAATAGAGACAAAAAGAGAATTGCATCCACTGATTTGGGGCTTCAGGTATCTAGGTATTAAATAACCTGATATATAAGCATATATCTAGAGACACCATTTATACAGGCACACTATTAGAGTGGGGCTCACTACTGAATGAAGCAAATTGTGCTTCTGCCCTCAGAACACCCAATACTTGGCAAAAATGTGGAGTGAAATTCCTACGTTTTCTCATGCTCACTTTAGTTTAGACAACCCATACACATCATTACAGATCCTATATGCGATACTGCTGCCTGATATAAAAGATCGATTGTCCTAAATTTAGGGTGGCTGCACGCCATATGAGACTTTATGTATTCAGCTTAAGGCTAGCAGTGAGAACAGCAAAAAGAAAAAGTAAAATACAGCCTGTGTATGACTGTTCTACACAATCTCTATTGGCTCAGTATTTATTTTCACTTCTCAAATTTCAAGTTTTGATGCCAAAATACTACAAAAAAAACCCACATCATGTCCAGAAGGATTCAGTTTATTTTTCATGAAAGGTTCCATATGCTCATTTAGAAGGATACTTGCTGCATTGAAAGTTTAATTTAAGAGGAAAAAAAAAAGAAAAGAAAATAGACTGCTCTTAGGAGTTTGGTCCCCCAGGATATATCCCTTTGTGACTGACCTGCAGTCACCAGCATAAAGGCCAGCCTGGCGTTAGAGCTTCCACTGTGAAAGAGCTTGCAAGAGCAGGAGTTACCATGTCTGTTACTAACAGCCTACCTCTAACCAGAGCCAGCGCAGGCACAAGAGGATCTGTTAAGTTACAGCCCCACAAACAGAAGGACAACTCAGTATGTCATTACCTGACTTCCCTTCCAAACAGTCCCAGAAAATGCAACCCAGACCTTCTTGTCAGAGGCACATTCTTTACAGCAACAGGGAGACAGATGCCAGTGGATGATCCTGGATAGCAGAGCTGCTCTGACCATCCTGCCATTGGGAGTCTGTAACACACCCAGCTGTGCTCAGTGTACGAGCTGCAGACAAACTTCGTACTCACAGCTGGTGCTATTTTTGTACTGAACTAGCAGGTATTCAGGGTTTTAAACATCTTCTTCAGCTGCTGAGGTATATGTACTGTAGAACATAAAACAACTCATACATTTCCCCAGCTACCACAATCTAAAGCTATATTGGAGTGGTCATTTTACCCGAACTATCTAACAAAATGCATATAATTCATTCTGTCAAAGTAAAAAAAGACTTGTACTATAAGCATCAGGTTCTTTTCCTTCTTGACACTTAAGGCTTCTGGGAATCTGACTGCTGGAAGCGGTTTAACTTCTCTGGATTATTTGTTGCCATTTGAGAAAAGTCACGAAAAATGTCCTGATAAATTTCATCTCCTAGGTGGAAAAGAAAAGGGAAACAGTATTAAACATTTGTTATAGTCAGCATCACCCACCACTGCACAAATGCTCTACTGTGCAATCAATTACTGTGTAACACTTATGCATGTAAAAACATCGCTTATAGATGCAATGACGCTGATGTGAACTCTTGGGGACTTGTTACTTGCATGCATGTTCTGTAGAAGCAAATTAAACAAAGCCAAACTATACCTGAAACAGTACCTCACAGGCAGCCACATAGAGGAAAGTTCAGAGTTAGAAAGGAAAAGTGAAAGCATTTTAAAGCAACTTAAAAAGAAATTTATTAGCCATTAAAGAATAAAATCCTTGTTTTTGCAAGGTGGTGCTAACCAAGATTGTTTTCAGAAAAATAAATTACAGCATAAATAAAGATTTACTTGGAAACAGAGGTCAGAATTCTTACAGCCAAACAGAACTCTCCATGAAATAAACAATCAGCAAGCAAATAGTATATATAAAAAAAGCAATCCTAAGTAGATAAATTATGGTTCATAAATTCTTTTGGTCTACTACTTCAGCAAATATAAATTTTTACATTCTCTTTATCTACATCTTCCATTACATTTTTCAGTTTGATCTATTAGAGTAATGATATTTCCCTTAGAAATATTTCTTTTGTTTTTAATCTTCACTCTTTGTGCTTAAACACAACCCAATAGTACATATTCCAAAATGAGGGATGGCAGCAATTTCCACCAGGCCTGTGTTCCTCCCCCTCCCTGTCTACACAGGAATATACATTCAGGAATGATTACTTCTTGAGTCATTGCCAAGTTATTCTTTTGGCACTTTAAAATGGACATTTTCACATTCCTTCATCTGTTGCAGCATTTTGGGCCTTCAGTTCAGGTTTCATTTTAAAACATTAACCATACCCTATTCCTTCAAAGGGAATTAAATGCATTACACATTTGGTTTGGTCTGGAATAATGCAGCCATCCAGATTTTACTGTCTTCCCCATACAGACGATCACACATTGCACAAGATCCCAGCACTAGTGTTTCTTGCTGACAGTTTGATTAATAGCATGACAAAGAAATCAACCCAAAATCTCTCTCAACATGTATGCTGAACATGAAGACTTTTTTTTTTTCCAACATGACTGTGGAAGAAAAGAATGTTTTTGTGCTTAAACATTTGCACTACTGTGAACAGTTACATTGTTTTGTTTTTCCATCTCTTAATTTACATTTCCAATGTTAAAACTATTATTCTTTTGGAGATGAGACTCCATTCTTTTGAAACCACTTTCACAAATGGTAACTAAACTTCCAGAAATATTTAACATGCATGGGATGTGGGTTTATACAAAGATGCAGTGACATAATTCTTCCCAGACTTTGAAAGATTAATACATTCAATACGGCTCTACTAGGAAAAGTCAATTCTAGTGAAATTCCCTTTTGGTTTTCAGATTTAATTTCAAGTATGGTGTCCCTGCCCATGGCAGGAGGGTTGGAACTAGATGACCTTTAAGGTCCCAAACCATTCTGAGATTCTGTGTTCTAGAGATGAAGCAGGCACAGGACACATTTCATTGTGACAGTTTGTGATAACTGCCTGCACTGGGAGATCAGCACAGAATGGAGCTGCAACATTCACCAAAAGAACAGCTATGAAGGGCACAAGGCAGAATCAAGCTTGTGTGATAAAAGAAATTATGCTTTTAATACAGAAGTGGGTTTCACTGGTGAACTAGTATTGTAGTTCAAGTTGCCATACTTGGTTCTTTCAAATTAACTTCAAAGAAAAAAGCTATTTTTGCAAGATACTTTGTGGCTCTGTTTTTGGCTCTATTACATAACAAAAATATTACATACAAAAATAGACTAAAATAAAGTGCCCCTTTAGTTTGTATGCTGCATTAAAGTACTTAATACTGTAAACGTTATAATTATTTAAAAATTCTACTTTAAAACTAAATTCTGGAAATTCCCTTTCTAAGCAATGTTTTCCCTAAAGTGCAGATTTTATGTACAAAAATACTATAACACTTCTTTACCATTTAACACCAGAGTAACTCAAAAGGCACACATCATACATTCAAGAAAAGGTAGGAAGAAAAAGTAGCAATGCTAACACCAAAGAGCTGGCAGACATACTGTAGCACCAGGAGGTGAGCACTCAAGTGTTATACAAGAGACAGTACTATGGTGCATATGGCTTCTACCACCAGAAATGAACTTTTTGTGGAACAAGCTGGTTTCAGCTAGTTCCATTCTAGGAATAATTTGGAAGACCAACTGTACCTTGCAAAGCAATTTATACATTCTCTCAGTAGCTCAAACCTGACAGATAAATTTAAATTGGAAATGTCGATGCCATTAGCTACATTAGCAATTGTTCATCAGCTGCATTACTGGAGCTGAGGAGTTGGCAGTTGGCTTCATTCTGACAACAGCAAACTTATAGATCAATATTTATCCTCACATACTCCCAGCAAAAATACAGTTGTCTTGAAAATCCTTATTTTCTTCTAGAATCATAGTTTTGGAACACTGGAGCTCTAAAATAAGGGTAGTGCAAATAATTTAACTTGTATATGTAGTGAAAAAGACCTGCGTCTCCTACAACCACAAAAAGGTGTGATACCTTATGACAGCAGAGACAGGTTTTGTGCTTACTCTGACACAACCCTTCCAACACACACAGACATTCAAAACACTCAAATACTGACTTTTGAACTTGTAAAAGAAGCTTCAGCAAGTAAAGAATTGAAGGGGGCAGTGCTGTGCTACCTAAAGATACAGCAAGATCTCCTGGCTGGGACTCTGTGCTACAGCTTCTGGCCTTAATTGTGATTTAAATGATACCTTCCCCGATTTTGGGCAATCTCTGCCTCCTGAGGCAACTCTACTCTCTTGTCAATCTCAGCTTACCAGCTGCAAAGTGTCTGAATGAGACTGTATCAACTGCAATCTCTAGATTCTACTGTAATACAAACTGATAGAAAGGTCACAATATTTTCAATACTTTCAACACTTTTCTAGCTTTTTATTTCACCTATCTAATTGAAGAATGTGTCTAAAAAATATTTTGGATGAATTTTCAGGGGAAAATAGTCTCCCCCCTCTACCTCACTTTTTCATGTAAGTAATGTCTGCATTGATTATGAATGAAGCATTCATAAACATTTCTAAGGTTCAGTAACAAACCAAGGATTTTTGTACAAACCATAGAAACGTATTTTCTGGTTTAGAATAATTTTGAATTTGTGATAGGTCAATTAGATGTTCGAAAATATTAATTTATGATTTAGCACAGAACTTTTGAGCCAAAATACACACCTCCCTTAAAACAAAGGCATTTTACTATTTGAAGCTGAGAGTTATTATTTTTACCTCTTAAAATAAAAGAGAGTAAACTCAAAAATACTTCAACATTTGCTACCTTCAGCCTGTCAGTGAAGTAATATGCACTGTATCAGAAAACATCTTTAAACTGAAATCGGCCACACTGGCAACAGCCTGCCTCATTTTCTGAGAAGGGAATTCTTCCTCTTTTGAGCTCATAATCAAACAAATACTTTAAAATTAACTGTTTAGCTGTCAAGGAAAGCATTTGAATTCCTGAGTGTCGAGAGTACTTTTATTGTTTAATTTGAATTTCCTTGAAGATTCGTTCAAAAACAGATTAAAAAAACTATTCTTAAGGAGAAACCAAATATAACTGGTCTATTTAATAGAGTTCATCTAGGATTTTGACATGAGACTCAGTGTTGCCCCTTGACTATATTCCAGTCCCAATCTGGTAAGAAATGTAAGCACACATAATCCTTTTGAATCAGTGGAAAATACATAAGGGCTTTATGGGCTAAGAATACTCAGCACTTAAATTTAAAAATAAGGTTTGCCTTTCACTTCTGCCAGGTATAGCGGGGTGTTTTTAGCTGTCTAACTTTACAATCAAGTGTGCCTTCATTACTGGTATTTGCATGACATTAAATTGGGTTCCTGTGGAAGCATACTATAACAGAGGAAATGGCTTGCACAAATATCACATTAGGACATGGTGTAAATTAGGACTGAGTGCCTGAGAATAAAGTTGCACATATTCATTAAATATAATTTGATACTTTCTTGTTGCAGTTGGCTCAAATGTCTGCCAGTTTCTATTTTGTTTTTAACCAGATACTATGCATACAAAAATACATCCTCAAGAATGACTGCTTTGTTTCTTATAAGTATCTTAACAAATAAAAATATTTAAAAATAAAATTTGAGAAAATAATACTTTCCTATTTCTGTCTGGACTTATTTTGAAATATTTGATGTACACTTTTTACATTGGTGTGCAAGCTTTTTTTTCTTAAAAAAACAAAAAGAGGACCATTCCACAGGAAGGAGAATGGTATCCTGCAATAAGATGAACTCCTCAAGTCCTCTGAGCAAGATGGATCAGAAAGCCACTGTTAAATAATGTCATATATATCCTAACATTATGCAAATTTCAAAGGAACAACAATTGGAAGAAAACTGTGGACAACTACCAGCAAAATAGAGTGGTAATGGCTGTAGCAACACACTACTATAATGATGCCATTTCAACACTCTCCTTTTAGGTCCTCTAAATACTATTACAAAGTCAGACCAGTGAATTTGAATGAAGTTTCAACATGTGTTGGTTTATAAAAAAAAACGTTACTGTATGAAGCTATCTTGAATTTCCCTCAGACACTAAGAATCTAATTGCAAACTGATAAATTCCTGTATACACTTCCTATATTGCATTTCAGTATGGTTATTAGTAGAGTATTGACCTGGCTGCCCATAGAGTCCTTCTGATTCCCGCATTTCTTCATTCATCCTTGCTAAACGCAACCTATGATTTAGAAAACAAAAAGAACAATGTCATCTTCAAAGCACAAAAAAAGACTACAATGCAAGACCTACAACTCACTCCTGAACATCACATCAATGAGGTCATCTATGGATAATGAGTTCTGATTTCAGCTCGTTCTCCCCGTTTTTTGTAAAGAAATTTTGACATTTCTTTTACTTTAACTTGAAACAGAATAGCAAAATTATCTAGTCAAAAAACAGAAAGTACCACTTACAATGTTACAATATCTGCATTTGCAGCTTCTACTGCTATACTCAGTGGATCTTTCCCATCTTCATCAGTGGCATGCTGGTTTGCTCCTCGTTTTAGGAATAAACACACTTGTCTGTTTAGAAAGAGCATTTAACAATATTTTTGACAACAGTAAGGAAATAAAGGCAAATGAACTCAGGCTGGATAGAATGTATTTGGCTTAAATCACAAAAAGTCTCTCAAATATGTCGAAATAGTGCTGTTCATCTAGAACATGTTACCACAGTAGTAAGCAAAACCTCTATTTAATCCACATTAGCAAACACGTCTGTTTTGCTAGTGGGTGAGACTGCTAAATGAAAATACTATTTTCTTTCTCACAGCCAGAGCTTAAGAAAAACCTGTATCACGTGAAATAGTATTAAAATGCCAGAATATCTGGGGCAATGAAGAAGCTTCACATGAACAACTATAGTAAAGGATGGCTGTTCACAAACTGAGGAGCAGCGAGTTACCCAGTGTGTCCTAGAACTGTGGCATGGTGCAGGGGCCCTCTTCCTTTCATGTCTCTGATGTTCACATTGGCCCCATTCTGCAGCAAAAATTCACAAGTAACCAATGAACCCTATGGAATAAAAGCAAGGAAACAACTCAGCACCAGATCTCTAGAATAAGAGCCAAATCTGTTCTGCCTTCTCACCATTTAGCCATGTCGAAAAGGAAACAAAAGGGATTTGCTTCAATATCAACTCTGAACACCACTAAGGTTATATAATTCCAAACAAAGCATTAACAGGAAATAGTTCAGAAAGAAGTTTGAGAGAACACTTTAAACACAACTTCAACATCACATTATCATCCATTAGTGAAGCAGTTCAAAAGGAACAGTGACACAGAAACATCCCCATTATCCCTCACCTCCTCCCCCATCAGCCAGAGCTGTATATTACATACCCCTCTCACTGCCTGAATGAGTGGAGTTGCTTTGTTTTCTTCTACATTGACCCAGTTTACTTCAGCTCCATGGGCCAATGCTTCCGCCATATGAGGAAGATTCTTCTCAAAGGCAGCTCGGTACAACTGCAGTCCTGGACTGGGCTGCTTGGAGTCACAGAACACAGAAGACTCTTGCTTGTCTCCTTCTGAAAAGAAAAAAAAAGAAGCTTATCTAATTTCTGTTTTTACAAGGTAACTCCTGGAATTCTGATCAAAACTGTCACTCCTCTGGCATAAGGAAGCTCAGGTTTTGCAGAATGCTGTGTATTCTTGCCCCATTCTGCCGGAGGAAGTCACAGATGCCCTTAGCCTGTTCATGCATTCAGGCCTGGCCTCTTCACAGAACTATTACTGCACAGAAAACATTCTCTCCACGTTACTGACACGTGTATATCCTTCAATCTATATATTCCATGTCATTTCTAAGAAATTATTTTAGGTTTGAAGTGTGTTTTATTCTAAATTGCAAGATATGAATAAAACTAATGTCCTGCAGAGATGTAGTCATACAAATATATCTTTATCTGCAACAGCTTGATATACCTGAATATGAGGCTAATACTGTTCTGACCTAATTTTCACTAAAAGATACCATTGCCATTTACCAATTACTTGCTGCGGCTATAATCTTTTGGACTAAAGCATAATCTTTCTCTTCATCTCAATAACAGTTATACAGAGTGAAGTCTGGGAGAAAAAAACGTTGTTACATGAAAGCCTTCATGAGTTACAGCACCAGAAATGTTTTTATAATGCAGTGAAAAAGGATCCAAGCCACGTGCTGCCTGCCTACAACCACAGTTGTGAACTACTGGATTTACAACATATCTCAAAAGAGTGCTTTGATGTAGAATAATAACTTTGCTTAATAAATAAATGTTTTGGATACTTTGACAAGTCATACTCAATACATCTGTCAGAACAGCATGCTAATATTAGATAGCAAATAATTTCATCAATCAATTCATAGAACTTCTGAGTTAAAGGGTAATGTTTAAGGACATGGTCAATTCCATGCAAGCAGAAAACAGAAAAATTAAGCAAGAATGCTCAAACAACACATAAAAGCCCATTATCTGTGACTCAACAGGAATTCTGCCTCCAAGGATTTATCTATTTATAACAGGATTATGCATTTCTGTCAGACTTGTCTGCCTCAAAATGCAGCATTACTCTATCTGAAAAAAAAAAAAAAAGTCTTGGATCAGTCTGGAAAAAACATAGTTCTTTGAACCCATTTAGAAAGATTAAATGCCATTCTTGGTAGCAAGTCTGGAGGAAAGACCACTCAAGAAATTTTTACCCTTGTTAAAAGCATTTCAACCCACCAGGATAGCAGAGACAAATTGTATCACCAAGCACTAGTCTCTTTAACAAAAAATGCTACCAAGTCATAGCATTTAAATTTTCATCTTAAAATGCAAAGCCTAACATACCTGGTTCATACAAACTGTTAGCTGATACAGTAGAGGCAAGGTGTTCTCTACTGTCCTCAGTGCTCGGCTGGATCCCACTGTCACTGCTTCGGACTGTTTTGGGGAGAAATTGCAATTACTATGCAGAGCCTAAGTTATCTTCTCTTCACAGATACCATGATAATAAAGCAAGCTCTTATACTTGGTCCTGAACATGTAATTTTTTAAAATGGCTACTAATTATTCAATGTCCTTAATGCATCCATAGAAAAGTATGGAGTCACATTTTGCAACCATAATGTTTATAATAATAGTAATAATAAATGTCAAAAGGAAAAAAAAAATCAGGATAAGTAAAAAAGCTTAAATTATTTCATGAAGACACTAAGCAATGCAGTAGCCTGGAGACAGATTAAAGCAGGGAGATGGCCACAACACAGGATGGATCACTAGTGCAAATACTGAACACACCACAGCTGTAGTACTTACTACTACGTAGTTTTGAAGAGGTATCAAAGTAGGAGAAGAGTGAATCTAGTTCATCAGGACAGAACAGAGACTCCCGCCTCGCCTCGTCGCTACTTACAGCAACCGCTGGGACATGCAGGTTAGCAAAGCACAAAGCAGGCAGTAAGGAAGGGACAGGGCAGGAGAGAATGTTATTGGAGAGATTAAGGGTGAAAATACGGAGGGAAGAAGGTGGTTAATATGTTTTTGAATGATAAGCATACCCATTCCAGATTCTTCCCCATGTGAAAATGCACATCTCTGAACAAGTCTTTTCTCCCCTATACTTCTGCACTAGGCTATGACCCATTAAAAAGTAGATTCTGATTTTTCTGCATGAGGCAGAAATCAATTGATATAAAAAGATGTTACTTTACAAAGAACAATGGGTAATACAGCTAAGAAGATAAGTGTGTAAATACCTTTTTGGGATGTTGCACCTTGTTCCCCTGCCAAATGGGATTTTTCAGGACCACTCTGCCTTTTCTCTTCCTGACTTGGAGGCAAAACTTTTGTTCCAGATTCAAGCAGAGGTACTGATGTAGCTTGCTTCTCTACAAACTTTCTCTCCACATATTTTGCTCTGATGTATGCCTCCTTCTCCTGCCTGTCATATACAAAATCCCCAGAGTTAGTAAGCTAATATTTTAGTATTTTCATGTATTAAAAGAATGTCTATTTCATACTAAAGTCAGTACCCCAGATTGTACTTTGGCATTGCACATAAGACACACCTATAGCACATTTTCAGAAATATGCAAAGCACACTGTCTAACGTTTTCTGGATTCTTGATTAAGAATAAGGCTCAAAAGAAAGTAATTTTGTTAAGTTTATGTAAGTGTATTTTCTTTCAGGCAGACACTTTAGAAAGTGGTATGTGGAAAAAATAAACATTGCACATAAGACACATCTATAGCACATTTTCAGAAATATGCAAAGCACACTGTCTAACGTTTTCTGGATTCTTGATTAAGAATAAGGTTCAAAAGAAAGTAATTTTGTTAAGTTTATGTAAGTGTATTTTCTTTCAGGCAGACACTTTAGAAAGTGGTATGTGGAAAAAATAAGCATTAGTTACTGTATGTTACTTCTTGGTATTAAACCTTTATACGTGTTTTACATTGTTAATAACCAATTAATAAAGCATATATTTAGTTCCTTATGTAAATATAAATTGCAGCATTTGCTAAGGGAGTATCAAGATTACACAAGAAAACAATTGCAAGAGACACAAAACCAATTAAGCCATGATAAAAGGGGCTATAATTATTACCATTAAAACTGCTGAAAAGCAGTTACCTCTAGAAGGAACAGCTAGCAAATCTCCTACATTACTTATACTATTATCAATGTCTCCAAATTGCCAACACTCCATAAAATGCTGTTTTCTATACCATAAAACTGCCTGGCAGCAAGCAGCACAGAACTGGAAAGGTAATAAAAAAACCAAGTTTTAAGAGATACCATATACAGCAGTAAAAAGTATCAGGAAACTACCTTCAGAACAAATTGGCATCAGAGGAATTGAAGACAGCAGTACAATGATCAGAATGCTGCTGTAAAGCAGCAGAGCTCATGTACAATGTAGGCAGGAAGAAGAGAACATCCTGGGGGATCAGGGAACAAAAGTCAAACTCAGAAACAAAGTCACTGTAAACAAAGGCACAGCCAGAGGGTCCTTCCAGGAACACTCAGGAGTACTGGCTGGCTGAGCTGGTACCAAGAAGAGAGGAAACAAAATCCACATGCCCACTTTGATGCTACAGAGCTGTCATCAAAAGTAGGTAGTGAAATCAGAAAAAGAACAAGTGAACAGGAGAAGCAGAAAGGGACCAACAGAGAGAACACCCAATAAAGACAGAGTGAGAAAAAGGGAGAGAGCAAAACATCCTGGTGATACAGGTAAACAAAGGCTACACCAAAGGAGTGTTACACAGTTAACTGGTATAATGTTTTAAAGCTGGAGGCTGAAGGAAGCAACAAGAAAAGGAAGTAACAGGTACTGCTAGTAAAATACTACCTTTGGCTTCCAGATTGTGGCTTCTTTACTCCCACTTTTTCCAACTTCGCTTCATATATTCTATTTATAACATCATTTCCCAATTCACACATAAGCTATAAAGCAAAATAAATAAATTCAAATATAGTTGTAAAAAGCTTTATCTACCTATTTAGTTGTTTTCAACCTCACTCAGCCTATTTTTAAAATATTATTCCCTGGTAAAAGTACACTTACAGAAATGAGTTTGTATCATGATAATGAAACAGTCAATTAATAGAGAGACCAAATCCTGAGTAAGAGAGCAAAAAATATAGTCCACTCTATTAAAGTGCCTTTCCCTACTGAAAGAGGATTGCTAAAACAACCACCAGAATGACACCTGCAGGCCTCATTAACAAAGGTGCTCCTTCCCACCAGCTTTGCCAAGGAGCTCTTCTTACCCCATCAACAACAGACAATTCAATCAATTCTATTCCATCCTAACCAATGGATGGTTTTGCTAAACCATAATCTGATATGACTACAGAAAAAGAACAAATATAAAACCCACCCTGCAGATACTACTTAAAGGAGAATTTGGTCCTACTGATGGCAATGAACAGACTTCTTGCTTCTAATAGCAGGTAGAATACTTTGCTCTACTATTTATATAAATAGTAGAAGGGGTCTAGCTTGGTTTTTGGGGATGGAGTGGGTTGTTTGTTTTTCTCAGCATGAACACATTGATATTAAAATTATGTAAGGTCAAACCACAAATGAAACATTACTACTCACACTGTCTTTTGACTACTGAGAATAGAGAAGCAATACCTAAGTAACAGAACATCACAGCTAGAAACAAATGCTTTGCATCAGTTATCCAGCTGTACACATGCATCCATGCATGAGTTCCTATTTCAGTATTTCAGACTCACATGACTTTCATAGCCATCTTTCAAGCTGGAAGTTTGACACACAAATAGCACACGAGCAGTTGCATGAGCGATATCCCATAAGCCAGTAGGATCTCACTGTTAAGAGCTGGCATTCAAATTTTCAGGTATGATTATGCTCTAGATTGATGCACCGCTTGAAAAATTTTTCAGCTCACTACAAGATATTATTGGCCTGTAAATAGATTTGCCTTTTTACATGTTGAAAATATCAGATGAAAGTTGGTACTCAAGAGTGCACTTGTGAACCTGAAGGTGGTGTAAATCTTTCTGACTTGCAAAAATGACTACTGCTACGGCAGGGATTATAAAACTGTGAATTAAAATAATATACAACTATAAAAATTTTCTACTCAGAAGTGCAGGACATACACCGGGTACAAATGCAAGTGTTTCCTGCACTGAATTTTCTGATACTGACGCTTTAGAACAACAATCTAAGTACCAAATAGAAATCCATTTCAAAAATACTGTCATACCTTTAGGAGTTCAGGTTCCCATGAATCCAACGTTAAAGATCTTACTTTTGAAAAGTGGACTCCCAAGCTCCTAAACAGCATGAAAAAAAAATTAACCTGTAACTACATGCGACATCTTAGACATATTGAACATTAATTTATGCAGATAAAGCAGTTACCTTAATTTTGTTTACAAACTGGGGTCCCTAATTTTGCTTCCACATACATTTGAAGAGGCAAACACCCTTCTTAATGAAGTCAATGCACAAATCAAACACAGTTCTGAAGAGTTCTCCAACCTGTGTATCCCAGAGCACTCGATGCACAGTGTGATTCCGAGGTTGATACTGGCCCAGCGAGGATCTGCCAAACCACAATCACAGCAGGCAGCGTTACCAGGAATACACTGAACTCGCTGCAGAGCACTCTCTCCCTTTAACAACTTCTCTTTTGTCTCACTCCCAGATTCTAGGCTTCCAGTAGAAGGGGATGATTTCTTTTCCTGTTTCTAAAAGAGAAAAAACCCCAAACAAATCAATAAAGAGACATACTAAATTAAAGTAGTAGAAGTCACACAGATAGTGACTGTGCACTAGAATCCTAGTAAAGTCACTACTGCATTCAAGGCCAAGGAAATGCATAGAACTGAAAAAATATTTAGCTTTTTAGAAGAAATACCCAACTGAATATAGGAGTATTGTATGAATTTTAATCACACTACAGAAAAATCTCAAAAATATATAGGCCAAAATAACATTAATAAAATTAAATGAAAGACAGATTACACATAATTCCCAGTTTTCAAAATTTCACTGCATTTCCACTGGAAGACAAACAATGAATTCCTTTTTTCCTTTCCTCTCATTAAAAGAGGTTTTATCTATTTTAAATTTTCAGCATCTAAAAGGGTGTTGTTGTTTAGTTGATTTTTAAACTCACCTCAGATTCATCCCCTTTCTCTCTGTATGCTGTGGCAATACTGGTCTGAACAGCCTTAATCCAGGCCTGCCGCAGCTTTTCTGAGTCCGCCTGAAGCATGCAGCTCCTGTGACAAACCATGAGTGCCCATAGTCAGAGTGGCCAAGCAGCTAACATCCAACAACACAGAGCTCAATAAAAAATCCTGAGGAAGTTCTTTGCTGCCCCACAAGTGTATTGTTTAGTAGGCACCATCTAATATACCCACTTATTTTGATATAATGAATCAGTTGAGCCTTTGTGAGTTGTAAACTCCTTATTTCAAAATTATTTGCAGGTAATGCTAAAACATACAGATATGACTCTTCAGATAACCCAGAGAATGGCTTAGTTTCCTATCCCTTTTCTTATTCCAAATTTTTCATTTTCACATCCTCATATGCATTTTACCCCTGTGACTAATTACACAAGATACAAGTACAGTCCTTGGAAACACACTTTCATTCGCCGAGATCAAGAGAGAATAATTTAAAGCTCTCTGACAAAGGATGAACTACTTTTCACACCAACTGTCAAAGGAAACAGGCCATGAAGTATAAAACTGTTCCAATACTGGAAAAAAGTAGATAAGGAATGCAAATTGCAAACTACAGTGAATCACAACTGAGAATGCAAACATCAGGATGGACAGAAATCTATTTAGAAGAGAAATGTAAGGAGTGAGGAATGCAAATAACACCCAAACCTAAGAGCAGGTCGACCTCATATCAAAAACTTAAATATGGTCACATCTCAAAATCGCTAATGAGGAATCCATGTTCTGCCCTTGCTGTGGCAGGATGCCAAATTTCCCAAATACGCCAATGCACTGCACTGTTAGAGTTGAAAAATAATTTTATTTGGCAGTTTCATTTAGTGCATCCTGAAATATAATTTAACATTACCAAGAAAACTTACTAATGTGCTTCTCTCTCATTATCACCAATCAGAAATGTGGAGAAATTGAGACCTATTTTTACCTTATTAAAGAGCTGAAAGTATCAGCTACTACTGAGCTGCAACAGTTCTGCACCACAAGCCATTTATGCAAAAGAATGTGTTTGTTTTAATGCCAAAAGTAAACTAAATACCAGGAACACTTCTCACAGCATCACTTAGTCAAAATTTCAGAGTGCAAAATTGTTCAGATAGTTTTCCTGTTTTGATCTATCCCAAGAGAAATGTTAGTCTTACATTTTAAGACAACTGGATGTAATGATTTTTAAAAGTTATTATTTTTAAATAAACATACTCCATCACTTCTCCTTACTTTGTTGGAGAAACCACCTCAAAACAGAAACGTCTTTCTATGTCTTCACAGTGTTTGACCGTGCAGAGCCTCAAGTCTTCAACAACTACTGTGGGATTATCCTAAGAAACAAAAAATTAACAAAAATGTCATAGAGGAAAAATAATATAGTTGCTAGTAATCTCTAAATATGCATCATTCAATTCTATTTGCCTGTTTACACTAATTTTTTCCCCTAAAAATAAAAATTGAAATAGGTGGATCTAGAGATACCTAGCAGGATATATTTAGATGAATGTTAATGTTTTGTTACATTTAATGAAAATTTAATACAGAATTTGGAGGATTTCTTTTTACCTACAATCCAATTTACTAAGTATTCAACAACTTCAATTTAAACAACAGTATTCAAACAACAGTATTCAAAGGAGTACGAAGATACTTTCTAAAGCACAATAAAATCTGAAACATTATCAGCAGTATTGTAAGTGCCAAATAAAAAAAAACTCAGAAGCTGAAAACATTGGTTTTGAAAATTTAATTCAATTCATAAGAATTCCATTCTAAGCTATCAGCATGTTAAAGGTGCAGTTAAAAAAAAAAAGTAATGGGAATTCACAAACAGAAAATGCCCAACCAAATGTGCTCACACACACTCAACTGTTTCCTTCCTTTCCAACGACAGAAATGAAGCCCCTTGATTTGACAGCATCAGAAAACAACGAACAGCCTCTGAACCCAGTCTGTTTGCAGTGAAGAGGAAGGACTTGTCATAAGCTCTTTCCTCTTTTTTTCCCCACTGTCTCCAAACAGTTTGCTAGTTTTTTCCAACCTGAAGAACAATTACAGCTACGTGGTGCAAAAGCAGATTCTAGAGCAGCAAACAAAGGAACAAGGGCCCAAAAGCTGACTGAAAAGGCTTCTACAGCTTGGGGCAGAGCTGGAATTGTTGCTATAATATACAGCTACTGCCCCTTCCCACCAGCAGAAAGGCAGATATTGACTGCTGAACCCCTGTGCATTTTAATCAGTAAATACATGTACAAAGTGGCCCTGACTGCTTCATAATAAATCTCCTGTGCCTTTTTTTCTCCTCGCTCCCCAACTGCTAAATTGGGTATGTGAACCAGTAAGTAAATGGAGGGATCAAGTCCTGAAAGAGTTAAACACAACTGCTCAGAGAACAGCATGGAATATTTGACTGCCAGCAAGTGTGCACAAGCCTTTTGGGACCAACAACTTTTAAAGCTTTAACTAGGTTACAAACCCCACAGCAAATAAAGTATGTGTTTACAAGTCACTGCACAAGAATCTGAGAATCTGTCAGTGCAGCCATTAGTCTCATTTTACAAAGGGAGAAATTAACTTAGAAAAAGCAGTGGGTTGTTGAAGATCATGCAGGATGCCAAAGTCAGCATTATTTCCCCAATCTATCAGGAAAACCATCACCCAAACCCCAAACTACCCCAAGTCAGTTTTCAATTCCTACCTTAAATTTCTTCTGATACACAAGTTGGTTATTTTGTATTGAGAACCAGCGCCTATTCAAATGAAGAGACATCCAGAGAATATGTAACTGATTTTACAGTGCTTATTGGACTGAAATGTGCAAGCATACAGTCTACAGAGAGACTGAACAAAAGAATTTACGAGAGTAATGCTGCAGTCAGTTTTGGCAAGTATTTCATGAGAATAAGGAAAAAAGGGAAGGCAGAGACAAAACATGAAAGAAAGCAAGGTTCAAATAATTTGAGTCCTAAACAAACACATTCATGTTATGACAACATTAGTTAAGCTATCACAAAAAAATTTTCATTTCAAAGAACATTTCCTTCTGTTTTTTAGCAGCAAGCTACAATTTTAAATAGCTGATAACACAAATTCAGATAGTTTGAATAACAAAAATACCTAAACCATGTAAACGACTCCCAAAATATTTTTGAGGGTAGAAATAAGAAATAACTTATTAAGGCACTAAAAATACTAGTGTTGCTATCCCATGCAGGTTTAATATCTATATTGGGCATTTCTTAAAATTTTAGATGCTAAAATAAAAAGATTGTAAATAAAAACTAAAAAAAGCAAAACCACCCACAAAACAAACAAACAACCAAAAAAAAACCCAACAAAAAACCCACAAGATAACCTTTTAAGTAGGATCCTAACTTAAGCCTCAGCTTGGAATGAAAATATAAAATAAAAGATTTAATGAAGGCATCCTGTAAAATCTGAAAGATAATATAATGCTTAAAAACTCTGAACTGTATCCTTCCTTCTCAAATCCACTCTTCAGATAGGATACAACTCAGAGAATTAAAAGATCATTCATACTTTGGAAAAAAATACAAGTGTCTCAGATCTCTAACAATGGCATTTTATCAGACCATTGAATATAACAAAAAAAGGACCAGATATAACCATACCTTTCTAGATATTCTGGGCATGCACAAAATAAAAGCTAACTAACCATCATTGGTTTTGAACTGACAAAAATGAAGGGAATGTAAAAAATAATTCACTCCTGCAGTGAATTTTACATTTTTTGTTTTGTTCAGGCTTATAATGCAAACCTGTGTTTACCACAGCATAATTCCTCAATTATCTCCAACATCCCACTCGTACCACACATAATTTTTGCCTGCACTGCCAATTAGTTTGAATGGTAACCATACACAAAATATTGTATTGCAACAGATCTTGTTATTCTCCACAGACTTTTGAGCTTCAAGCTGCAGTTTACTACAGTTAGTAACAAGAGGGTTCCATGTATTTATTTAACCACCAAAAGCCATTCATGGAAAGAAGCACACAAAGACTGTTAAGAAAAATTAGGATATAAAAAATGTTAGATTCAAAACAGAAAACCTAGTATTTGTTAGAAAAGTTAGTGCTTCGTAGACAGATGAGATTCTACCTTTTAACAATTACTCTTCAAATGTTGTGCAGATATATTTTAATTTAAAAACAACAGGATATCCTGTTGTCCTTAATTTTTCCAATTTATTAACAGCAGTAGTTTTGGTCACTGCTACTGAAAAGGTATCACCTTTATCATCTATTTACAGATGCAGTAACTAAGCCTCATAACCTGCATAAGGCAGGTTATTGCTAATATTTAAAGAGGAAATTCAAAAAAAAAAGCATACTAGAAAAGGAAAATAAATTCAGGCTTTTTTCTTGTGGTGTGTTTTGGTTTTTTTTGGTTTGTTTGTTTTTGTTTTTTTTTTTAACATAACACAAAACAGAAAAAGCAGTCCCTAAGTGATAAAGGGGGGAAAAAAAGTAGCCTTGCCCCAAGACAACATGCAATGGAGCAAATCCCTAATAATGGCCTTAGGCAGTGTAATTAATTTCATTAATGCAATGCTTCATTTGTTCTACAGGTAAATATTTTGTGAGTTACTACAGAAAATAAGATCCAATGTCATCCACCGGATACAAGTGAGCACACAAATTGTAACACAAAATTTGTGTCATCTTTAAAGCATAGTCTAGAAGTTTTCAAACTATTTCAGTTCCTTTTTTTCCTAGCACAGAAATAAAACCTGTTGAAGAGAAATTTCCAGTCCAGCTAAAAAGGGTGCCAATTTGGGTAATTTTTTAAAAGAAACTTTTATTGAACAAGATCAACAATTTAGAATGTAGAATAACTTGCAGATAACACTTTTGAAGTAGATGTCAGAGTTAATGCATTTTATTGTATGCTTGACAAGATAAAAGTGCCAGGCTGTCCTCCAAGGTGTCAGTGCCATAGCACTTTTATTCAGGCCAAAATCCTTTAGAGTTATTCTTCATTAACCAAATACCATCAATAAAGTCTACGCATTACTGTAGGAAACAGACTGCTGGGGGTCTACAGCAGTAACAGCCAGGAACTCCTGAGGGACAACGTGTGTACTGAAGGTGCTTTTATAGGGTAATCCTTAGCTATTCTAAGAATAATGTTGATAAACTCTCAGGCAACATGTGTGCAGTAAGTACTGATTATAATCACACTTTCTTTAAATGTGTCAATCTGTCAAAAACAGGAGAGAAGTACGGTGAAGGAGAAAACATACTAGGAAATCTTAAAGTAATTTACACTATCTCAGCAGTGCTTAAATTTAGTTGTGTTTAGAAGCTGAATGTTTTCCATCCTTTATACCTAAACAATCCAAAACCATATTTGTTAAATATAAAATAATGCAAAATTTATTAAAAAAAATTACAAAGTAATACTGAAAACATAAACCTTAATTTGAGTTTTACATAAAAACAGTGAATCATGCTTACTGATTCTCAAAAGGAACCAGTTTTCGTCTTGTTGCAAGCAGCACACAAGTAAAACAGAGTGACTAAGAAGGCACAACATTTAAAAGTACATCTCTATTCCCAATGCAGTTGATAAGAAAAAAAAAAATCTCACCAACTTCAATTGGAAAAAGTCAAAACACTGATCTTGTACGCTCAGAAGTTTGAGTGCAGAAACTTTGCTTTAATTCCTTTTTAGATAAAAACTAGCTCAATCTTTCTGATTATTTTAAAAGTGTTGAGCAGCAGGTATGCTGGCATCCCAGGCAGAATCCTTCTGTTATTTTCTTAGACTGAGTCACTTATACATCCATTGCAAGTAATCAAAATTAAATGCAGGGTTAATGAAGAGTTTTTTGCGTGCCAAAGAAACATTGGGAAGGTAAAAAAGAAGCTGGTTGATACCTGATGTGATCTGCCTTTTTCCTGTCATGTGAAAAAATGGGGTAGGATTAAAACATAAGGGAAAGGAGGAGAAGGAATGAAAAATGCAAAATGAGCAAAATAAGCAAAGAATTAGCATGACCTGAAAATACAGCAGAATTAAAAAGGAAAACATTTAACGCATCCAATCTAAAAACTATTTAGAACATACTAGTGGTTTGACAAATGCTTTCTTCCCTACATGTATTTATTCACACATATCTTTCTTCATGAGGTGGACTATTTTTCATTTGAATTTCTAGGAACCAAAACAGCTTTCCAGCTAGCGTGCCATAGTAAATGCACCTGGCTCCAGCTCCTGATGCCTTACAAAAAATGGTGTATAACAAAGTATATCCTTTACCAACACATAGACATACATTCAAAACACAGGTTTAACTGTTACTGTAAGACTTAGCACTATAAAGATGTAATTCTGATTTCACTAAACTGTATTATCTGAAATACTCATGTACATTATACATCGTCCTTTTAGTCACAACAAAAAGACATTACCAAATCTCGATCTCTTTCAAAGCACAGCAACGCTGAATTGCAGACAGCTTGTGGTTTACTCTGCAACCTGCTCAAGCACTCATTTGTTTCTCAAGTCAGTGTCATGCAGAACCATCCCAAGAACAGGAAACTTGATGCAAAAGTTGAAATAATTAAAATCTTGGGACAATGAAACCTAAGCTGTCAGGTGACCTAGGAGGAAACTTCATCATCCTAGCAAAACATTAGCTTGGACTGGAAACGAAACAAGTTTTCATTCATTATAACAGATTTGTTCCCCTTCAAAGGGTTGCATTATACAGTCTTAATTTTTTCTTCCCCAACAACCAGGTCTTTCCCAGGATAATCCACTAGGAGGGTCCATGGATTCACTGACCAATAGGTGCACAAAGGATCACAATTCTCTAATTTGTCAACTACAATCACACTGACCCAGACAAAATATATTGTACCATTTCCTTTTCCCTTATGTTTTTAATACTGGCAAGTTTACACTAATAGTGGTCATTGCAATGGCTTTCGGTGCCTTTAATTCAGTCTTAGATGAGTTCTTCTAAGGGTCTAGAACCAACAAAATACCAAATGATAGCAACTGAGGGAAAAGAGAAGCTTCCATTTTAAATACATATTACTACTGACAGTGCAATCAGCAGTCAGCAAGAAAGACCAGTGCTGTCGCAGTTGGTTCAGAACAGCAGGAATTTCCTGTATTCCTGGGCAAATTCTTCTGGTTTTGCTTCAGCTGGTTGATTTTCCACACACCTTCCCCAAAGATGGGCATATAATGAAGCAGCAAACTACCAAGCTCATAAGAACACTGAAATATCTTGTCTGTCTTGGGGTCTCTGACTTCAGCCCAGAATTCCCTCACATAAAATACATAATTCTCTAAATGTTTCCTCCTTTGATATTTTGTATATTTTTTTGCACATAAAACAGTACAATGCAATGACACAGTCCTTTCTTGTACTCTACCTAGTGACTGGACAAACACTCTAATCTCTAATACATGGTAAACTTTAATCAGTATTATCTCCCCACAGCTGAAACTGCAACACTACATAAAGTAAAGCATTCCATCAGGAAAACAGGTAGTGGAAAATGGCAGTGACCATTTCAGTGCCTACAATATAGCAGGCAATTACAAATGTATTCAGAAATAAAAATAACACAAAAATACCTGTCTATTTGTATTAAAATATAGAAAAAGTGGGGGGCTAGATTCAGAAACTAAAAGTTGTTTTCATTAAGGTCTTAAATGCATATTTTATGTATGATAATAGTAGTTTCATAACAATTAGTAATGGCTAGTGAGTATGTGAAATACAAAATTAGGATGATTGATTCAATTTCTGAACTGTTTATAGATACCATATCCAGATCTCTGTTTAATTCTGAAGCATCCAACTAGTCTATCACAGTGAGATAAATTATCAAGAATTTAATATTAAAAAGTTTAAAGGTTTTGCTTTATTGAACACTCCTGTGACAAACAGGAGAAAAAACTATAAGTAAATATCAATTATGTAATAAAAGTAGATAGCTCTGACTGATTACCAAGCTGTTTACCTTGGCTCTCTTAAATAAGTTATTGTTTGGGTACACTTTTATTATGTATGTTCAAACCTGTAACTGAAGGAATGTAATTGTGTATCTTGATTTAATTACAACTTCTTATTTACTTTGTGTCTATTTAAATTTCCAACATACACAAGTCAGTTTTAATTTAATCCTACTCTCTAAACACTTCAAGGTAAGATGCATGTACAGTATTACTAGGTATGGAGCCATGTGGAAGAAGAATATTTCCCAGCTATCCTCCAACACTCCTCTCCTGCTCCCTCCTGTCACCTCCCTGCAGAGCAAGGCCTCCCTGTTATCTGAAAGAGGAACCTGGAGAGAGTCAGTTTTGCCTTCCGTCAATCCCGCAAAACACCTTGGCATAAAGGTGTTTCCATCTTTCATCCCACTGAGAATCCAATAAAGGACAATGTCCTGCCCTGCTACTGCAGATTTTTCTCAGTATTCTTACACTAACATTTTACTTCACACCAGGAATGTGCTCTGGAATTACACCTCCCAGTTTTCTCATTTCACCATCCTTTGATGCTTCACAGATTTGTCTCAGAGAACTTTGAATTCTGCTTGTATGAAACTAACCCAGAAGGTACATTACAGTCATTACAGTTACAGACAAATAATCAGACCACAGGACCAGACCACAATTAGTCCAAAGGAAAATCCTGTGTACAAGTTGCCCATGACTTGCTAATACAGATACAGTTTTATTGACACCATGGTCCTTGCATCAGTGTACAGATTTAAGTGAAGCAATCCCAATTTGTTACAGATTTGTGATGCTCCAAAATGTTCAATGAAGTATAGAATAAGGAAGACTGGAAGGGACCACACATCGAAATGCACATACTGGCCTTGGAAACAAAGCAAATAGTTTAACAGAAGCATTGCTGAAAAAATTGCAGAACACAGTATAGGAAAAAGAACTCTGTATTACAACAAATTATCTTTAAAATTCAAGAACTGTATCCAACTGTGCTAAAAATGCTCCAGCACATGTATTTCCCTGAAAAAAAGTATATACCCTCAGAAACACAAAAGAAAATCTATTCAGGGAGAAAAATATTTAAATAGTAAAGTATACATTGTTAAAGATATATGAATAACAATAAATTTTCAATTTCCAAAAGAACCATCAAAACTACTAAGCAAAAGTCACTGCACAAAACAGAAATTGTAAAAGATAACAATTACACTGTTTATCTTTCAGGAAAAATAACTTGAGTCCTTGACTGTGTTTCCCTGCTTCCACTGGCTACACAACTTGCATTTACTTTGTCCTCTAATACTTTCCTAGCATATCCACTTATATAGTTCATTGTATGCAATAACAAGGATTGCTCTATTTCAACCCCAAACTGAGGCCAAAGCACAGTTACAGAGGCAGGCTGCACCCAGCAAAGCAAACTTTCCATATTTAGGACTTTTCCAAACTAAGGTACACTCTTAGAAAAAGGTCTGCAAACAACTAGGACAGAAAACAAGGAAAAATGGCTTTGAAGTGTCATCTCTAATCAACAGTCACCCCACTGTTCTGTCAAAACTGTGGAATCAGAGTTACATAGATTTTAAGTCAGACCAGAATTCAGCTTAACAAGCACTTAATAAGCAGCAAATAGAGATTCTGAATAATTACCTGTTCCAAGTCTTGAAGGCATTGCTGGCTCGCTTAAACAGATAACCTTCCATAACAATACCATTGGCTGCATCCACATTGTATTCTAGTTTTGTATCATCACTGGAATAATCCTGGTACAAAGGAACAAGGGAAGAAAAAGACATTGGAGTTTCAAATGAAATTTCAAGTATGGGCAGTATTATTGTCAAAGAATAAACATCTAGGAATAATGTTTTGCTTGCAACACTTAATAGTCAAACCATGACTCAGCCCCTGAAGATTTTTTTTTTTAATGCAGTTTTAGAAGATCAGAACAGGTATTGGTGACTTCTACAGAGGGCAAATATTGCTAACAGAGCATCTGCTTTGAGCAGTTTCAACTGCTCAAATGGTCTCACATATATTCCCAAGAAAGGGGACAGCAAAGCACAGGAAATGGAGCAATGAAAGTTAGGAGTCGAAACTGAAAAACAGTTGCAGCCTGTTGCAGACACCTGAATAAAGCCAGTTGTACTTCAGCATTTACTTCAGCTCTGTCATCTTGACAACTGAGCTACACAGGAAATTAGAAGACAAGTAATCAAACTAAGATGATGCCATCAGTTAACTCTAAATTAAAGCAGTCATAGTGCTGGAAGTGATGGCAAGAACTTAGTAGTAATTTTTCCTTCATGATCTTGGATAAGATTATAAAACTACAAGTTATAATAATAATGGCCAGTCTTCGCGAGCGAAGATCCGGGGAAGGTCTTTCCACCTTCCAGCCTGCGCATTGGATTTTTTAGGTGAGACACAGTGTGCGCGGAACTGAGCCCACCCTTTAATCCTAAGGTTCATCTGCCGGGGCCAAGCGAGCTTGGACAGTGGCAGTGAGGTCCTCAGGACATAGATGGATTGCCTTTAAGGGCTAACGAGTTCCATCTGCCCGGGGAGTGTCCCTGACCGGGAATCGAACCCGGGCCTCGGCGGTGACAGTGCCGTGCCCTTACCACTAGACCACCAGGGGTTCCCAAAACTACAAGTAGGACAAGGGATTATACATTTCCATCAATATAATAACAAATAAAATCAGCTAATAACAGTTAATAGCAGTTTTACAAGTTTTAGAAAGGTTGACTGCTTCACATCTCCAGCAAAGGCAGATTAGACCAAGTAATAACACGTGATGATCATTTGCTTTCACATCTCATTGAAAACAGCATGGACTATTCCCAGGGAGGTAGAGTTCAGATATTCAGTGAGTGGGAAGCTAACAGCTACTAGAGGGGCATGAAAATGGAATGGAATCACATAATTTATCATTTGCTATGTCCAGATATCAAAATAACATACACGCTGTAATTTAATTTCACTGTTAGTAAAACATATCCTAAAGTAGACTAGCAACATATGGCTTTTTCCCCTTTACAAGGGCATAGGAGACACATGACTGAAAATTAAGTTTCAGAACAAATAAAGCAAACAGGTTAAGCACTGAAGATACAGAACATTTTGTAATATCACTCTCCTGAACCTTCAGCAGTTACTTTTTGTACATTGCAAACATCAGCTCTGTGAGAAAAGTGTATCTGTAAGTCTCTGGTTTGCACTTTGCTCCTCAGGAATTTGTCTATACACAGAGGAAAAGAGGCAATATCAAAAAAAAAAAAGATAGCTTCAAAAGCAACATCAGCAGCCCTATGTAACAACCCAGGCTGCACACAACTTTCGTGCTACACACAATATTTACTCTTGTATATGCAGATGGTTTGGTCCAATCCAAGGTTAATTAGACATGACAGTGAAATGGTTACAAATATTAAAATGGGCCCTTTAAACTCCCTGGTCAGCACAGCATAAATGCCTTAAAATTACTCAGTGTTTTCAGCTATTACTAATATGAATAGATTAACTAAAATTGAAACGTTAAATCTAGATTATTTAACTGACAGATGATCAATGGAAGATGTTTGCATTTGTGTATTTATTATTCAGCATTTAATAACTTTGTTTTTCTGCCTGTTTTGTAGATCAGAACGTGCTGAATATAAAAGACTTCATGTAAGCGCAAACAGCTAAGTATCACACTACAGTTTTAATTCAGTATTTCACAACTTATAACACGCAAACTTTCACAGTGTTAAGAACACTCTTTGGTTTCTTATGCTCTCAAAAAAAAAAAAAAAGAAAAAAAAGAGAAAACCACTATAAGCACAAACTTAGACATGTGATGTCACATTCCCTCTCTCCCACAAAAATGATAAATTACTCTAACTTACCAGCTCCCAAACATAATGAAACCTGCTAAAGATTTGCATCTTCCTGCCTCAGTGATGCTTGCAACTCCTTGTCTAGTGAAAGACAACATATATTCCCTCAGCCTTTTCTGACCAAACTACTGTGTAATCACATTTTCCTTGGGGTTTGGAGAACTGCTGCAGAAAATGCAACTGTCTTTTCCAATGAGTCTTGATCCATGCTTTGAAGACATATACAAGTAAGACTGGAAACCTTCTTTGGATCGTTTATCACGCCACACTCTCAGTCCAAATTGTCTAAAACACTGACCCTTTCTCATGAAGTGCATTTAGTCATTTTAATGACTTCCCTGATTGAATTATACCTTTATACTGCAGAAAAAGACACAAGAGTATACAGACAAATGTTAAATAGCTTCCTAACTATAGACAGCATACTACCAGCTAGAGGAGAAGGGAGTAAGGCTTCCATATGCTTTATCCATAAAACTTCATTCATGAAGCTGTGGCCAGGAAAAAGATGACCAAATAATCATAAAAAACCATGCCCCTCTTCATTTCAATTACATGAATATAAGTAGGAAAAGTAACTAGATAAGCTGTATATGATCTTATAGTCTCTGCTATTTAATGATTAAAAAATAGGAGAAAAGCAGTCACTTTATAGTTTATTTTTATCTTGGTGCATGGAAAAGTTTAGTGAATCATGAAAAATAATCAGGGAGTGGAGAGAAATATATCCATATCTTTCCAGTGTCCTGCATAAGAGAATCACATGTTAATAAACTCGTCACTGTATGTGATTCAGAATTTTGTTCATTAAGCAGGTGCACAACTGATAAATATTTTATTTTAAACATCATTTATTTACCAATTAGGTGTCAGTTAGGGTTAAAGTACATTTCACCTAATCAGAACTAAGAAAATTAAGCCAGTATTATGCAAGTTACACTGAAGTTACTGGAAGACAAACATGTACAAGTGGGCTATATAAGTGAACATACAGCATGCTTTCATGCCTTCCCCCTCCCCTTTTTATTTAAACATCCATGAGATACAGTAAACCAGCTGCAAATGGAAAACCAACTTTCATCTCCAGAAATAATACTAATCTGTTGCGTCACAGAACACTTAATATTCTTGACAGTGTTTCAGTGAATGCATTTTCATATGAACATATCAATTCATCACTCATACTTGATTCATTCCATAGCTTGCATGTTTTATGTTTCTCCACATACAATCCTCTTGTTACTAAAACAACCCCCCCACACACACTTTTAAGTAGTAGAGTTTTTTATTTACTTTCAACATGAAAATTGCTATCAGGTCATGAAAGCTGTTCAAGCCATTTTACCAGTAAATCTTAGAGACTGTATTTTAACATTGAATTTTAACATTCATTTTAACATTGAATACGTATTCAAAACATTTTTTTTACTCTAGAGAAGCAGCATTTTAAAAAGTGTTTTATAAGGGAAGTAAATGGGAGAGTGTAACTACCAAAGAAAACACTAACCTGAAAAGTTAGGCCAGAATATACTGGACACTAATTGTGCAAACCCCCCAGTTAGAAAGTTGCTTCCATTCCATTCCCTTCCCATCCCATAGGCAAGAGATGTTTGTCATGCTTAAGCTGAAAGTCCCTCCAGGAAGGGTTTAAAAACAACAGACGCAGGAAGTAACAAGGTTTTCAGTCCAAGACAGTGAGAGAAGACAAGAACGTCACTGAGCAAACAAGTCACTTGATTACAAGCTCATCTTTGCTTTCGGAGGCAGGAATTAGTTTGCATTAACTTCTCAACAGCAGCTCTGCTTCACATTACTGTGGTAGCATCTGGTTTCCTATCTCCTTGTTTACTCAGAATGTTAAAAATTGTCAAATCATTCTCACTCCAGCTGTTTCCTGAGCAGTTTTTCGGAAGCAGATTTTTATTTTAATGAAAAAGGGATTTGAATACAACAAAAACTATTTGAAGTTCAAAACAAATACTTTTCCTGTATTATTTCCCTCATTTTATAACAAAATATTAGCTCTGTAACAAAACCAAAAAGCCATAATGCTGTTTACAGGTCCAAATGATTTTTAAATTATTTCTTACTTCAATATGTTACTTCAGCAGGGTTGCAAACTGCTCACAAAACAAGAGTCATGTCTTAAGTATTGTCACTGTGACACCACTCTTTTTTCCTGTAAAAATATATTACAAAAATTTCCCAGAATGATGTCATTTCTAGATTAATTCATAGTATCTGTTGCTCCAGTTTAATATGGAAAAAATAATTTCTTACACTAAAAAAAAAATTGTTTCCTGCATATCTGTTGAGTCAATAGACCTCAACGCTTAAAAGAAATAAAACAAAAAAATCAGATATCAGCGCTCAAAAAAGAAAGCACACCATGTTGGTGCCCAAGCCCTTCCATGACACTTGTATTAGGCTCTCTGACAACAGCCTAATTAAATAGGATGATGATCCTACAGAAAAGTGAGATGTGTTATTTAATTAGTGCCAATACTTTGCACGCATATGAACATATATGCAAACACAGGTAGTGGATGGGTAGGTGTGTGCACATATGCACTTACCTATACATTTCAGAAAAGAAACTGTTCTTTATCCACATAATGAAGGAAAGGCATCATTCTGAAGCATTAGATTAAAACTTGAGTATATTAAATGCACATATACCTCATTCAACACAAGCAGCTTCAGAAGTTTCAGTTTTTATAAAACATGGAAGGATTTGGCATTGGAAGATTTGGGAATGTATGTCTAAGAGGCAACACAATAGAAAGCAACATGACAAGACACGGGAACAGAGAACAGAGTTGCCATCCGGGTCAGACTGACCAGATGAAAAATAATGACACAAAGAACAAGATCTAAGGTCTAAGGCAGTTCTCATCCTGATGAGCTGTAAACTAACTTTGTGTGAAGGTTGGGAAAAGCAAGTAGGAGGAGACAAAAACAGACAACATGATGTGAATAAGAAACCAAGAAAATTATTGGACGAGCTATAAGAGGAATCTCCAAGAAAGCACAATCCAAGTATTAACATCACAAAAATGCAACAGTGACTGGTAAGGACAAGAGACAACATATAGAACTCAAAACACAGAATTTAAGAGGGCAACATACAATACAATCTGACTGCCCTGATTATATTTTAGAGACAGCCTTGTCAGTTAAAGTAAGCAACAATATTAGTAACCTCATTGTGATTGTCACTTGTACTAGGAACCAAGGACGTTGATATTACACACAGACATAGTTTATCAAGTTTCATGACACTTAAAAGTTTCAGTGACATTTGATATTACTAGAAATAGTTTACCTGTAAGGTAGCCTTAAGCAGCATTTGAAGAAAAAACAAAGACTGTAAACACCAACCATAATTCACAGTAACAAGTTATTATTCCTATGGCCAATTAAAAGATAATTGCTCATAACTTACATCCTTCACCAAGCACCACTGTTCTCTAACAGGAAACCCCTCAAGTAGTGCCTGTTCCTAAAACTAGGCCTATTAAGCCCAAACAAATTACAATTTTAATTTCAATGTTCATTCTCCAGTGCCATCTCTTTCCCACTCCCCCCTCTTTCTTCCCTTTCCTTGCCTGTTATCTCCTGTCTGCCTCCAAACAGCACATTAGCACTGCCCTAAACTCCATCATCACTCACATATGCTCAATTTCACAGCAATCCTATTGTTTCCCACCAACTCCTGAAGGAATGACAGGATGAACCAACAATAATGTTTTCAGCAACCAAAAATGTTACCTTTTGCCATTATAATTAATTAATTATAATCTCCATGTTTTCATTCCTAAATTTATTTACTCATCAGATTTCAATTACATTCAGCTTTTTTTTGTTTAAATTTATGCCACCTGAACGGATACAGAACATATTTGAATGAGAGTAAGAAGTGTAGCATTACCTTTAAACTGGTATCTAATCCCTTTCAAAAGTACCTGCAGTATTAGCTCACTACCAGAGAGTTCAGTGGAAATATTTTAACTTCTAGTATTCTACCTGCAAAACCAATACTGATCTAGAGCTTCTGAAACATCCAAACAACAGAAGTCATTTTCCCCCCAACATAAATTATCTACATTTTTCTCAACAAGTAAAAGGAAGAAAATTATTGCACATAAAATCTTCCCAAACCAGCAGTTTAATGTTATCACTTTCATATTTGTGTCCAGTTGAACCCATGCATTAGAGCCTTGACAAAAGTTCACTTTTGCTCTTTATATGCAACAGCAGCTGCCACACCACCTCAAAGTGCTGCACTCATATTTGGCACAGCCCAAAGTGCTACATATGACTGAAGGGCTGTGCAGTACATACATCTCTTCTACAGACACACAGCAGGGAATCACAGCAACTTTTACAACTGCATTGAATCCAGGATGGAACTGAAATGTTAGAATCCCAGTATTCAAATAAGTTATACAGTTCTATTCACGTTTCCATAAAAACGTAATATCTGGTTCTGTAAAACAAAATTAATATCTCCAATCTGACCCTGTGCTTACTGATGTGAAAGTCTGTCTGTCTGCACTAGAAGACACCATCCCTCACAGTTCTGATGCAGAGATGCAAACTGCCGGGAAGAGAAGCTACAGATACAAAAATGTGTGTGCAGCCTGTCTTTTACATTCTCTCAAGTACCTTTTGTTGAATAGTGGAGTGCTTTTGCTCCATATCTCTCTTCTCCTTTGCAGCATCTACAGCCAACTGATCCAGCTGTAAAGAGAAACAGAAAATTGGATCTTTAGATATCATGAGAAATTTGGCTCAGTAGATTTCACAATGCTGACCAAAAAAAAAAAAAACCAAAAAAAACCACATTATGTCTAGACATCGCATGACTTTTATTTTATTTGCATAGTATAATTACTTCTTTGTCACAAAGTGTTTACCTTTTATAATCACTGAAGCCTCGTTTAAAGCACTGCACTACCATCCTGAATTCACCTCTACAGAGGTGTACATTTCTTGTAGGCATTAGAGGGAATGTTTCAAAGAACAGCATGGTGCCAAGCACAGCGACTCTGCACCGCATTGGTGCTCAGCCTCCGAGGGGGATGACTCAGGCTTTAGCTGCTCCTGCTGGCCTTTGCAGCAGCACTGGCAGGAGCAGAAGAAACTACAAGGAGCAAATGACAGGGATATTTCCCTCCACAAAGCAAGGGAACTGCCTCAACCAGGCTTTTGCATAGATAGTTTTCATCAGGTCACCAGCAGTGTTTGAGCAAGATTCTTTGAAATCTTAGGTAAAGGCACTCAAAATGTTTCTCATTTCAGAAATAACAATATGATTTTGAAAAGAAGAGAGCCTGCCAGAGTATTTAAGTTGGTATCCTTACAGTGATAATAAAAAAGCCCAAAAACTTGCTACAAGCATGTCTCTAGCACTACCACATAAACCATTTTCTTTTAAAACCAGAGAAAAAAAAAAGAAAGGTAGGAAATTTAAAATACCCTGTAAGACAAAGTACGTTTGGTTAGGGGTTTCTGTGGTGTTTGGTGGTGTTTTGTTTTTTGTTTTTTTTTTTTTTTTTTTTTTTTTTTTTTTTTTTGTTTGTTTGTTTGTGGTTTTTTTGTTATTGTTTTTGTTTAGTGGGCTTACTTCTTCTGGTTTTGTTTTATACTTGTTTAGTTTTTTACAGATTTTCATGTTTAAATAAGAAATCTGGTGGATGGGCAGACATTGCCTGAAAGACCAGTTAGCTTGGTACTTATCTGACAGGAATCTGATGAACTCCTTTATCCAGCCTGTAATACAAGCCTGCCACTAACCCAGTCCCAGCATCTCACTGACTAACCATGCCGATGCAACGCTGAGCAGTGCACAGCCTGCAGCTTTCCATCTGTGGGACAGACCTGGCTCTGCTCCAGGCCTGGAACGAGAAGACCAGGAACAGGGAGCAGCACCAGCTTTCCAGCTGAAGTCAGTCATGTGGCGGAAGGTACAGTGTGACTAACACAACCTCTAATCCACACATGAATAGGATTGCCTCCACCCACTGCCACAACCACAAATGACAAGCCCTGCCAACCCTGTCCGTTTCCCCAGTGTTTTATTTCCCCTGCTCGACATGATATAAATGAGAAAAAAGTGACAAGGCTCTTACACCCTTGTGCTAGACAATCTCCAACAATTACGGAGCCGTCAGATAACAGACACATCTGGATCCAATTCCACGCTCTGTTAGTTTTCTTAATTCTTCTCTCCCTGTCTTCCTCTCTGGCTCAAAAGGCCACATCAGCACTTTGACACCTTACAGGTATTTGTGAACATGAACACATTGAAGACTGAAGTATCCAGATGCCACATTTATGTAGCTATAGGACTTAAAAATGACACAAGAGCCTCTAAAACGGAGACTGGGATGCCATTGTTCTCAAAGACTGTTTTGCACCAAGAACCCTTGGAGAAACCCTTTCTTTTGTGATAAAGATGAGGACTAATCCAAAGGTTGTTCAAAACTTCACAGGAATCCAGTTTCTTGCTAAAAATTCAGATTCAGGAATCTGCACATGGCCCCCCAGAAATTCCTCCTTCTACCCCCTTCTAGATGAAACAGAAGGCAGCCAAGTTCAGAGTAGGGCATTTACCTCTAATTTATCTTAAATACAAGAATTTGAGGATATATTTACCACAGCATAAGTGCCAAAACAAAGTTTCAACAGCAGCTCATTCCATCAGTTACTTTTTCCATTAAAGACAGCATTGCATCATTCCTATTTGCAACCTCAAACCAGAATTCCTTCCTTTTCACTCAGGTGAGCAAAGTATCAACTGTCTTAAAAGAGACCAACAGCATACAACTGTCAAAAGCTGTAGTAAATCACATAACTCAACTAGCAAAATCCCAGTCATTATACCACTAATGGGTATTTCTCAAAAAATTAGGTCTTTCAAACTACTGTGTTTACTGGTAAATATACTTTTATAAATATAGTGCTATAAGTGGTATTATGTAGAGAATTAAGTCAGACTAAAATGTTTAGCTTTTTGAATAGTCATCTCAATGAAAAGTTAATTAGGTTTTTTTTTAAAAGCTAATACCACATTTCACATGAAAAGTGCCAAATTCCATAATTTCCATGCAAAAGCCCATATTACACTTCCATGCCATTAAAGATTCCCCTACAATGATTCACAGGGGATCCTACCCCAGCCAGAAGGCAAAACTGCTCAATTCTGCTCCATCCTGTAAAACAGTCATTTTGAAAATACAAAGAAAAAGAATTCAAAATTATAACTATACTATTCAAGAACACTTCAATTTTATTTCAGGTGCTGTTAAACCTTGTAATTAAGATCATACATGAAGTTTACCCGGGAAAGAAAACTCACTCACCAACAGAAGGAATCTAACAGTGTTGTCACAAAAATCCAGCAAATCCCCATTACGTCACACACACTTTGTTAGAGACAGAAGCTTCAACCAGTACAAACTGCAAAGCCATTAACTGTTAAACTGTCAACAGTTATTTACAAGTCTGCTTCTGTCATGAAAAATATCCATTACTTAAATGCCAAGATCTGCCACAAAAGAACAACTGTAGAACTTCAGGGTCTTCAGTCTATCTTGTTCTAATTGCAATGTATTTAAAACATTTTCAGCTTTGGATTTGCTAAATTTAACTCCTTCAGTTGCTATGATACCAGCACCAAAGTGAATGTTACACAGTGCTCCTTACCAGAGCAAGTAAAAGCATGACCAGACACTCAAAAATAACCTTGTGTTTTCTTGCTCCAATCATCTCAAAGAAATGGAAACATTGAAGCCTGGTCGACCACAGGTTTGTTTGCTTTCCCCATCCCCTCTTCCACAGGGGTACAGGACACACATTTTATATTACCAAAACATTCCAGTTTAACAATTACAACCCAAACCGGAAGGATGTCAAAGAATACAGGGCACAGCTAAGGAAGGGTAACAAGCACCTGAACTGTTCAAGTGCCACTATTAGAGCAAACATTGACGTGTTCCTACAAGGAATTAAGACCCACAGTAAACTGACCGGGGACTAGTCTCGCAAAAAATAATTATTCAGACATTGGATTGTTGGAGTTATTTTCTACAGCTCCCAATTTGCTTCACTGCACAGGCACAGAAGCAGGTTGAGGGGCACAGATGACAATAGTGCAGTGGCAGGAATAACCAGCTCAAAACAATGTAATTTCTTAGACATTCACGGACACATCTACTCAAGAGGAATGTAAATAAATGTTTGCTGTCATTTACTTGCTTTTGTACCAGGGCAGACACTTAGAATTTGGGTTGGTTGCTTGGTGTATGTGGTTGGGAAGTGGCAATAGAGGGGTTTGTATCAGAGCATTTGTTATGAACCCTCAGATAGAGGCAAATAAAACATGTTGCAAGAGTATTTTCAGGACCATTTTACTTGCACTGAAAACAAGTCAAGACACTTCTTCCTGTACCACAGACATACATTTGAATCTCGTATGTTCTAATCTATTTTTATAACCATTTTCAATTTCTCTTGTGTGCAGTTGGTGGTGGTCCATCTAACCTTCCCATGAGACCCTCACTGAAAACCCAGAAGCTGCAAATTGCCTGATCTTAAATGTAAACAACAAAAGTGGGCAAGAATGATTTCATGTAGGAACTCAATGTTGCACCACTTTTAAAAAATCAGACTTCCATTTTAGGGTCTAAGTTGCTAACACTGACGTTCTTTTTGCACACATCAAAGTTTAATTATGCATACTGCATAATTTATAGAGTAAATAAAGCACATAGGTAGAAGGAAAACCTAATCTTCTTTTTAGTAGATGTATAACATGGGTCATATACAAAAATTAAAAAAAACTTTATAACCAAGTGTCCTGGATATCGCAGGGTACCTCAAAGAGTACTCATGGTTATTTTTAAGTACTTCAATCCTAAAGGCAGTATTAATTTTAGTAAATGGACAACTTTCAGTTTGTAACTGAAGCCATTTACAGTATGTTTTTATGCTTTGCCTTTATAACACTACAGTTCCCTTTTTGTTGAATAAATCTATGATGTACCTGATATATAGGCATATATCAAGTTTTCATCCTTTCCAGCATATAGCTATGAATTTTTAAAATAATTTGTTACCTGTGCACCGAGATCTTTCATGTAGGGCTCAAGTTCACTAAACAGATCATAGCCTTGATGGAAAAAAGCCAGATGTGCATACATAAATGATAACATCTAGAAGGGAAAAGTAAATATTTATTCTTTTTAAAAATATATCAGATATCTTGGAAATATATCACTTAAGTATCCACATGAACAAACTTAAAATACAATGCTAGGTTTAGTTTCTGCTCTTGTGTCCTGACAATTTTATAGTAACACTTCATAGAGCTTCCAAAGTTGTAAAATAAATGTGCAAAGTAAAGGCAGCAAAGAATCAGGCCAAAAATTTCAGAAATTGGTTGATAGGATTAACCTCATGAGCAAAACAAAAGAAAACTATTTATGGGCAGAAAATTACTTCTAATTCATGTCATTTTTATTATCTCTTCTTTAATTGGGACACGTAAGCTAGAGAGGGGCTACAGAATATTTTACTAATTATCCAAAACCATCACCTTTATGAACATAGCTGAGAAGACTGTCCAGCCATAAAATAGAAAACAAGTTGAGAAGGTAGAGAGCAGAATAGCAACCCAACTAAAGTTTTTGCTGTTTAAAGGAATTAAGAAAGTTATGGGAGGGCAACCTCAGACATTTGATAGAAAAGCACCATTTAGTTGGTCAGTCACTACCTCAATAAACTTTCTACAGAGGTAATGTGAAGCAGAAAAAGTAACACCATCAGAAGAAAATTGGCATGCAGATATAGCTGTTTATTAATTTAGCAAATACTGTACTATTTATATGAAAAATTACCCTCTTCTTAGAAAGAGCTGAATCCATCTTAGAATAGATTATAAGTAGTGATAGATTATAAGTAGTACTTATTGTTTATGAAGTAATATACAAGACCTAAACAGTAGAATTCTTGGCAAAGTTTCATATTAACTGTGAAACCCATACCAATCAATCAACAGCAGTGAAAATCAAAGTGTTCAAATCTGAACCAAAATGATTGTCAAAAACAGTTAAACATGTATGCCCAGTCATGGTATTGGTCAAAATGACTGTCACCAAATTGCCAAATGCATCAATAATGCTTTGATGAGTAAAAGGACTACGTTTTTAACATATTGCTTTGTGGTCACATTTTTAATTTTAAATGTGTTTAAATATTTTCTATGTAGAAAATAAAATGCATCTTACCGATTTTAAGATTTCTGCTCTCCTTTTAGATTGAAGAACGTTGATCTAGAAAAAAGAATAAACAATCATCTTATTCTATTTGCAATTTTACCCCACATAAGTAAACTTCAAATTACTTCCAAATAATCATATCAAAACTTAAAACATTGGAAGAAGATAACATCAGACTTCACAAAGCACTTTTAAAAGAAGATGCATTCTAGTTCTGCCACAATATCAAAATGATGCAATCAGAGACTGTTTGCAAAGCTCAAATTTCACAGTGATAGTCACAATTTTCTTACACTGGAAGGAAGAATACAGGACACCACATGTTGGCTAGAAGTAATAGAATACACCTTTCAAGCAAGGAAAATAGACACCCATTTTCAAGAGACTCAACTCAAGATGTTTCAAACAGCCTTTCTGACAGTGTGAGCTCAGCCAGCCCACCAACTTCTGAAAGAAGCTGCACTCAGCCCCACTGCTGTCTGCTGCCAGGGGAGAGGAAAGGATGGGGGCACAGTTGTTTTTTAACTCAGACTGACACTGTTTAAGTGTCCCAAAAGTGGTATACTGTCTCAGCCTCAGAAACAAGCAAGATCATTACAGCTTCAATAAATACCTTTCCATGTATATTTGTGCTTTTAAGCTATCTCAAGTCACTGACCAGTGGTGTTGCCCTAGAATTTAAAGAATTTCACATTCCACAGAAAAAAATAACTGAGTTTCCCCATTCATTTAGTTCCTCTGTCTTCTTTGTTCCCTAATTTTTACAGGTTGACATCCAGGACTACAGATTTTACTTGAAAAGCCCCGCTTAGCAGAAACATGCATGATTTTGAAATTTAACACCTCTATGTCAGTTTAAAATTCAAGCAAAAGAAATAAACTTACTGAAGCTATAATCAAAACCAGATTGCACTTCTATACTTAGTTGGTCAGTATTTTGGAAAGCTTTCTGCAGCAAAAATAATTAAGATTTGTTTGTATAGAATAACCCCTCAACTTGTGAGGCAAAAAAAATAAAAATAAAAGGAAAGTAAAGGTTTTGAATTACAGTTTAAAGCCAATTTAGCTACAAGGAGATCCTAGTTGTGAAATCACTTTTTCAGAAGAGTCACCCAAGTAGAAAGAATTTCTAATGCTGAATTCATTTTTGCTCACATTAGTTAAGAGAAGCTGAAACTTTTCCCTGTAGCTTTAAATGCATCTTTATCCCAGGAACTGCTCATACTTTGAAGATACAAATTTCAGGAGGCAAATGAGCTGCAGTTCAGTGCACACACAAGAAACTGGTCTACTACAGTAATGGCTGCCAGCTTCCCCCACACCATTTAGTACATCACACCACTAGTTAGCACAAATAATTCAGTGATACATAATTCGCATGACCTTTTTAGACCCCAAAATGACCTTTATTCTCAGTGTACAAAAGACAGGAGTTCAGGTTCAGGTTGACCACTGACCACCATATCTGTGCACATGCCTAGGCTGATCAATTCCTCTTCACTTTACAGGTAATAATGCAAGCAACAGAACAGCTAATTAAGCTTTAAATAACTGACTGGACTGTCACAAATCAAGATGATAATGTCTAATGTAAAACCAATTTAATTGTAAAGGGTTGTTCTGTGTTTGGTTATAGGAGAACCTCAGGCCCATTTAGGAGTCCTCAGCCTCTCATGCCATCTGAGTTGCAATAATCCTGTTTTGCTGTAGTTGTGTGCAAGTATGAAACAGATGAATTTTAATTATCAAAAGAAAATTTATTACTGTATTACAAGATCCAAAGCAGCATGACAAAGAATACCTCTCAACACCCTATGGGAGACCTGCACTAAAAAGTGAAAGGGTAGCTAAGTTCTTGGCCTCCCACATGGCACAATGCCAAACTCTGAGGCATCTAAACAACTTGGTTTGTTAAATAAAAATCAAAGCTAACAGCTGAAATAGTCAACATCTTATACCAGAATTATTCAGGTAACTTGCACTTCCTAGGATAGGTTAAAAGTTTTACTTCAAATATATAAGGAGCTATAGCATAACCAATTTCTCCCCTTTTCCCTGAATCTCCACAGCTTCCAAGAAGCTCACAATAAGAACTTCTAAAGGGTACAACCCTAACAATATGTAACAAATGGTTCTGAAAAATAGCTTTGATTGCTGCACTTACCTGAAGAACATAATCCAGAGCTATGTGTCGAAAACACTTCCGCGTTGCAGTCAAAATATTGGTTGCTTCCTCTACTTCGTGCTGCTTATTTCTTTGAACTTGGGCATTCTTCACTAGAGCATTCTCTTTTTCTTCACTCACTTTTTCAAATTGTTTCTTTGCATCTTTAAATTTCCGAATATCTCTAAAGAAAAAGGAAAAGTGGGTAACAAATGAATTCCAAAGCACAAAAAAGTGCTTAAAACTGCATTAGACAGATCATGTTCATGACTGCCTTAGCTGGTTCCTCTGTTTTCATATTCTTCAATACATGCTTGGGTCAAATGGGAACTCACAAATTGTAACAAAAGCTTCTTGTCTTTTCCAAGGAAAGGACAAAATGGACATGTAAAGAAACATCTCACGCTTACTGGGACAAACTTTGGCCAGTACTTTTCCCCCCAATCTTAGACAATTACAACAAGTAATTAAGAACAGTAATTCATACTATTTAAACATTTCTGCAGTTGGATCTAGAGACTTAGTGATCTGAGGTGATTTTTGAACTCTTTATTACACACTTCTCAATTTATGGTTGGCTATTTGCAGGAAGGATGTTTCACCAACTCACTCAAATCAGGTGTTTTTAAATTCTATTTTACATATAATTTTCCCATTACAAGTGCAAATTAACTTACTCTTTAACAAAAGTCTGAAGCTGTGTTTTAATTGATCTTTGGATTTGGTCAAACAGAATCTGAAAAAAAAGCATTATTACGTAGGTCAGTGACTTAGAGATATTCATATCTTAGATATACAAATTGTAATTATGCAGAACTAAGTGATTTATTATTAAACCAGTGTGTCTCTAATACCAAAATACAACACTCCTCCTTCTCAGTAGTTTTGAAATAAATACAATATAAAGAAGAAAATAAGGAAAATAAACTGAACACCTTTTGCTGGTCTTTTCTTAAAGACTGTGGTTATAAGGGGAGATAAGAGCTCCTAGCATCCTATTCTCTCATCTTGACAATATGAGACGTACCTACTTTTATAGAATAAGTTTATTACGTTAATTGTACAGTAATATTCTTGAAGAGACAACTTTGAATGTTAAGTAACAACCCTTTTGGTTCTTAGACCTGCAAAATTTATCAACAATTAAGAGACAAATGAAACCATAGAAAGAACGTGCCCTTAACTTCTGGTAAAAAAAACCCCACAAGTTGCAATCAATGCTGAAAATATAACATACATGAGTAATTAGTATCATCTCCTTCACATAATATGTTTGTAAAAAAACATCCACTATTGAACTGCTAAAAGGAAATTGTTAATTTTTCAAGGTCAAAGCACACCTGAATGTGAGAGAACTTGAATTTTCTCCTAATGCCCCAGAAATTCTAACTGAGGAATGAAAGCACACATGCCCTCAACTTCCCATCTGCCCTCTGAGTTTTAAGATGGAACAGAACAGGTCAATGGCTACTGAACAAATCCTTTTGTCACTTCTTAATGTGCAGGCAGCAAATGATGCCTCAATTTCCACCCCCTCTACACCTCCCATTCTGCATTACAGAAATAGCCAAGGCACCATCACAAAAATAAAAAGGTAAAAGAACATAAGGAAGCAGCAGTTGGCCCAGTTGAACAGAATCTCTTACAAAAGGTAAAGACCTTGAAGTATTAAATAATTCTGTTGAAAGAGCAAGTCAAGAACTCAGTTTCAGGTCAAACAAGTTTTAAGTCTTAGTTTCTCTTCATAGAATTTGCAAATGAGAAGCTATGCAATGCCAAGCACCAACAGCAAAATCTTTACCAGCTTGTGTCTCTTTCTAGAAACACTGAAAGAGGGAAAAGACAATTGAGTCTAAGTCACCCATTTACAGTGGTACTTTATCTTTCATCCAGTCTCTTTGTTTTTGTGGTTCTCTTGTGGTTTTCAAGACCAAATGGGATGAAAACCTAAGCAACCTGCTCCAACCTCGTATCTGACACTGATTTAGGTTGGAAGTTGAACCATACAACTCCTGAGGCCTGTTCCAACCAGAGTTGTCCCATATCTACCAGTAACACGCGGAAGATCCTGTTTGTACTACCACTTTGGGAAACTAGAAAAACAGACAACTAGAATAGATAAAGAACTTCTTGACAAGCTGGAAGTCATGCTGGGATACTCCCACTGCTGACATTTAAGCTTGCCAGTGCCTGAGGAGTGCACCAATCAAGATCAATAGCAAAAGAGTATAACCAGATGGGAACTCAAATGATTAGAGGGCTCCCAGAAACATGAGCCTTGCAATTCTGCTTACAGTAATGAAGAAAAAAAATGTGCTAGGCAGAAAAATACATACACAGTTTTTCCCCCAAAAAAACACTAATAAGTGCCCAGATCACAGTCTGACTGGATTTACAGTCTTTCCAACACACCACCTTTCATACACTCTAACAAAGTTACTGTTTGCCATAAGCTGTCAAAGTTACTCCCCCGTGCTGAATCAGTGAAGATACTGCATTAGGCTGGTTCCTGAACATATTTGAAACAAAACCTCATATGAAAAAACTGACAGTCATTCAGATCTCAGTGGGAGCATCCCCTACCCCTTCAACTTGGTCAACAGAGCTGACACTCTGAGCCAGGAAGCTCTGCAGGACCACAGCATGTCTGGCAAAGCACTACATCGGAACCCCACAATGTGCCTTACTACTGATGTTTCTACATTTTGGTAAAAGCCACAGTTCTACTCACTATGCCTGAGCACAGCAAGGGCATGGAGGGAAAAGAAGCAGGACAGAACTCAGACTGGTCCTACTCAGATCTGCAAAAGAATCTTCTTTTAATGTCCCCTGTTCTTTGCTTTCTGCCTTCAAACTGCCCGAAAGGCAGAGCTGTGCTCTGCCAAATTTTACCAAAGCAGTGAAGGAAGAGGAAGAAAATAGAAGAATGAACAAATGCCTTTGGCTTTAAGGATACAAGTCTTTAGAGTAAAACAAACAAAGTAGATTTCAATCCAGGCAAAAATGGACTTTCTGATGAACTCTGACGTGACAAAAATCACTGTCAGTCTTAAATCCTAGCATTTTCTACTTTCCCTACACTTGTCTAAATCTGTCATACTTCCAAAAAGAAAACTATATGCAAACAAGAGAGGGTTCATTTTAAAATGCATTATAAAGGATGGGGGAAGTAGAAATTATGGAAAAAGTAATCATTATTTCAGACAGGCAAAGAAATATGCTCTTAGTTTTTAACTGCTATCCATCAGTTTGATTTAGAAAGGTGAAACTATCCAGGATTTACTGTCTTAAAACATTGGGTTTTAGCATGGTTTACAAATTCCAAATGAAAAATAAACCAAGATAAAAATCTGCAGAGAAAGGGATATTTATAAACACTTGGTAGACATAACATGAATAAATTTACAAGTATGAAATGAGACATATTTAAACTTAAACCATGACTTTACAAACACTATCAACAAGAAAACCTTTTCAGCTAGAAAAACTCACATTGTGATAATTGATCATTTCCTGTAATGTGTCAGAGAACTTTGTCAAACTGTTCTGTAAAGAGAAAATCAAAGCGGTTTAAGTTAAACCCTACAAAACACACAGTACAAAACCAACATTTCAGAGGTTTACAGCTTTTCAGTAAATGACATGGAAATTCATTTGCCTTATAGCATGATTATTAGACTAAAACCATTATATTACGAGAACATCGGGGTAATATAAACTAAATTTATTACAGCTACAAGCAACAAAAATGTTACTGCTACCTGTATATAAAATACCCAACTGCAGCAAAGCAGGAAAAACTAAGATTGACTAAATACTATGGGAAGTTCATGTAATTCAACATATTAATTTACAATATGTAATATTGCACTACTTAATATTTTTAATGTTTAGTACTCTTACTCAAAAAAACTAGTTAATGTGTTGTAATCACTAGTACACACACTAATCTAATACCTATTTTCTGGAATTTGCAAAACCCCTGCCACTGCAGGTTAGAGGTGAAACTAAACAACACAGACACTTGCATTGCACCACAGCCAAAAAAACTCACTGTTAAAGACATCTCAAAGGAAAAAAAAAGGCATAAACTTCAACTACTTCTCTTGCCAACTGTTATATTTTACCCTTTTTAAGTTTGTTTCTCTCCCTTCATTTTGACCTCTTAAGGAACTTACCTCAACCAACGCATCTTTAAAGGAATATTGTGCAAGGTCTCGAATTCCATTCATGAACTGCTTGTTGGCTGTACAAAATGCTTTCCCAGTATCAATCATTGCAATACAAAGTTTCACCAGCTAAAATGAGGGGAAAAAAAAGAGAAAGCAGAAGGCTTTTGTTTGTTTTTTACATCATCATATAAGCATGAACACACTGAGCTTAGTTAAGGCTATGAAATACAGATTTGAAAAGTTTAATTCTAAATGTACAGAGCCCTGGATTTTATGAAAAGCTTTTTATTGTATAGTGACAGCTATAAAAATACTACCCTAGGTCAACTGGTATGCCATTGGGAAAGTTAGTACTCTTTATAAATTCTTTAACTAAGATTTTGCATATATTTCAAGAGAGGGCTATATGGGGGCAAAAACCACAGCAACTAAAACATTACTATTTAGAACCCAAGCAAATTGATGTTTCCAAGGAAAAACCAAACAAACAATCAGAACAAACAAAAAAAGAAACCCACACCCGTTGTTTCATCTTGAGCCACTCTGAACACAGGCACGGGAAAGCAGAGGGCTCTGTGCACAAAGCTCAGCTGAAGAGAGGTGGTTACACCTCAGAAGATGAATTCATGTTTTCACTCATATAACAGACAAGTGTCTGATGGGTGTCCATCCCCACCACTCACTGCTTTGGGTAGCACCTGAGCCCTCACAGTACTGCACAGTCTGACAGGAAGGTCCTCAGTACTTTGTGATGTTTTCCCACTTTTTGAACCATTCATGCACTGGGCCATTAATGAAAGAAAGAATGGTTAATGCAATTGCCAAGGTGCTCTCTTGAAAAAGGGCATGTTGTAATTGATTCCCCCATTCTAAACCAAACTGAGAATAAAATCAGAAGATTGAACCTTCATCTCTGAAAGATTTTTCAAGGATGCCAGACAAATTTTCAAGAAAAGCAACACAGAGGTACTTGATCCTATACTGGGGCAAAGAAATCACTCAAATGTCCTTCCTACCTTATTTACCCAGTAATTTTTGACTCAGATCAAAAGCAGGAAAAGCAGAAAGCTGAGCATGATCTCCAGCATTCTGATGAATTGCTTGAACAATGGACAGAAAAATCACTATCAACATGAACATTTTTCCTTCACTTTTGTTCACAAGCCTGAACCCAGTGTCCTTTCTTCCAGAGAGAAGAAAACCGCAAACAGTGTAGCTGAAAGTCACAATTATGGGACAATAAAACTCAGTTTAGTGTGAATAACTGAGCAGAAAAAGTTACCAGTCAAGCCTAGACAAATCATTACCCTCAGGCCATAGTTAATTCAGCTCACAAAAGCAGCTTAGCTTTCAACTTCAGTGTTGTACAAGGCCCTGAATAATGTCCCTTATGGAATTTGAAAATTCTTGTCCCCAGAAATGACCCTTTTAGATTGATGGAAAAGTCAAACTTCCAAAATAGATTTTTCAGGTCGTTTAGACTGGTGGAAAAGTCAAGCTTCCAAGATTTTTCAGATACCTTAAATAGTTACAATTTGATCTACCAAAACAGATGCATCATCCCTACAGTAAAAATGTCTCTTATACTCATCAGTTTCACCAAGATTCACACCAAACTAAAATTAAGTTTCTTGCATTTATTTTCAAAGAGCAAATGGTTAGATTATTAACTACAAAAACTAGAAATATTATTACAAGAAGTAAACAAGAACACCAACTTTCTCTCTAGCTTTCTGCAGCCAACTCACAGCTGCAAGAGCAAAAGTATGTATTCAAAAAGCAGCTAAGGACGCGAGCAAACGACATCTGCCTGCCATGTGAAAATACAGACAAAAATAATTTTAAGCACTTAAAATGCAAAGGAAAGAAGATTTTATACAAATGAAACCCAAAAATAAACCACTTTGAAAATACTGGCAAAGAAAGAACAAAAGCCTCTAATGGTGAGGAAAGCAATAAATGGACTGTAAGGTGTTGAAAAGATGCTACATATAATTTTTAGACGTGCACAAAGCATGACAAAAAGGATAAATTTTACGGTAGTTAAGTCCTCCAGACAGCAGTGAAGGATATATATAGGTGTGTATATATATATACCTGGCCTACTGTGACTGTGCCTCAGATTACCAATGAGAGAAAGCATGGACTTTAAAACAAAGGGTATCCAGATGTCCCCACAGTGTGCAGTTGTCATAAAACAGGCTCTGGATGCAGCGATTGCACGTAGCTCCCTGGGGGGCTGAGCCACAGGGATGCGAGGAGGCCGGGTTGGGAGGGCACTGCTCAATACACACCCTCAGCTGGGACAGGGTGAGTCCACAGCGACTATTCCTGCTGTTACTCTAGCCCGGTTCTCCCCAGCTGTGCCCTCGACCCCAATCTCTTTCCTCTGCGGGAGTTGAGGGCTTGGTCAGCCCCTGAGACTTCCCAGTTGTGAACTTTAAAACAAAATCTAAACACATCTTTCGATATTTTTAAGAACAAACATTGTTGAATTAAAAAGCTTACCTTGTCAAGTTTCAGTTCCAGTTCTGTCACATCTCCTTCTACTTCTTCTAAAGTTGCCCTGCAAGAGTAAAAAATGTTTTCCTTTAAAACTTTACACAAAAATACTCTGGGACTGAGGGGAAGGGGCAAGGACATGTTCATTTAACTCGTTTATTGGCATCAGAGTTTCACTTCAATTTCAACTACAAAACAGCATAGATTTTAGAGAACTACAAGAATTGCAGAAAATTTGATGGTAAAAAGAAGAAAAAACAACATCACCGATAAAACATAGTTTATTGATAAAGATTTGAGATCAACTTTTATTAATCCTAATGATTGTCACATGGAAATAGATTTCCTCTATTCTTGTACAGCCAGTAGTATGTTTCAAGGTAATGACAAAGGAAAGAAACTGAAAGTCGGAGTGAAATTGCTTAAGTAACTCTTTTGGTGACTCTCCTGGCTCAAACCTGCAAACCTGCAGTTATGTCATGACTGACCTTGCAATGAGATTAAGAAAAAACACAGCATTTGCCACGTGTCAGTTGACTTGCAGGAAGTTGAGATGGCACACTTCTTTATATCATTTACCTCTTGTCTAGACTGGTTGAATCTTCCAGGCCAGTTAAATTTAACCTGCCAGTAAAAGCTGATTTCACGGAGCATTGCTAAAGCATAACCTGTTTTTGCTTGAGAGCTGGTGTTTCCTTTGACACCTCTTTCCTTATTGCTACCTGAAGAAACAGAAGACTGAGGATGGACAACACTGTTCAGAGTATATGGATGTTGCTGCTTCATCGAGCTATTGCCTTGAAAGCCTGAATGTACTAATTTCTGGCAACAAATACCCTTGTCCCATCACAGGGCACCCATTCTTTCAGTCATTCCAGCGTAACTGTTCATGAAGCCACGGTGTTTACCAGTAGTAGCCCATCTTGGGGGGAAAAAAAAATGTAATAGGAAGTTTTCTGTAATGCTTTTTGGAAAATTGGATCAGACAGTTCACATTTCAGTCCTACAAAAATCCCCAGCTCTTCCCTGGAAAAAACTATACAGGTAGGGAAGTACAATTTGGAGTAGAAATTTTTTAAGACAATTTCACCACTCAGGATAGACTACACAGAACCACAGCTTTACTGTCTCTTGCTAATTCCATCCTAGTTCACATGAGTACAAGCCAAAAACACAAAAAATAAAAAAAGAAAAAAGAAAGACTGGATCAGGCCCCAAACTCATGAAAAACAGGTTTTTTTACTAGAATAGTTCTGAAAAAGCACTGCCAACTGCCTGCAGATCTCAAACACTGAGCATGACATTCCTAGCTTTTTGCAGATTTCACTGCACATAGCTGCATTCCAGTTTTTGTATCCAAATCCATTCCCACAGTTACATCCTAGGTTTTATATCTAAGCAGATTCCTGCAAATACATTTTGGCTTCTTCCTCTTCTCTAGCTTCAGACCATGAAGGATTTCAGGCAATATCAATTTCTCTTTTATTTTCTTACATAAAGGATTCATTTCCATCTAAGTCTCTAGATAATCTTGTTTAAGAAAGCATTAAGGAGAAAAAAAAAAACAAACCAAAAAACCGAAGGAAGGAAAGTATCTCAATATTTAGATCACAATTTTCTATTTGTTTGTTTATAATCACAGTGTAACAAAATTTTGTTTCTTCTATTAACATAAAAGCATGATTAACTAGTTTGTTTACAGAACTGCAGCAAGATCTGATAAGAATATAATTTTTTTTAGTGTCTTTAACTAGCAAAGAGTTCCAGCTCCACAACACTCAATGAGCCTAAGATTCAAGATGAAGAAGAGAGATAACGGCAGTTAGAACAGGCAGAATGAAGACAACACATCTGCTCAGGAGTTAAAGTTCTATTCCAAGAGGAAATTTCTAAGATAGAATAAGCTCAGATGTAAGAAGTAACAACAGAAGATCAAAAGACTGAAAAAATGAGGGGCAGGTCAAGAAAAGAGAAGTATAAAACAAAGCAGATAGAGATATCATGGGAGAAGGGAGACACACAGCCCCTCTATACCTGGTTCACTGCAGGTCATCTTTGAAATGCCACAAGCCTTTGAGACACCAGGTTGGTTCTCTGGGCTATTTCCCACCACTGCCACATGAAGAAGGGATGGCACATCTGGGCCCTACAGCTGGATATGGATCAAACAGGTGCTGGGTTCCAGCCAAATCCATGTTTCTTTGCACAGAAATGGCTACATTCACTATTTCCATCACATAAAAATGAGTAGAAGTAATTATCATACAAATACATTCAGTGTTAGTCCAGCACTGGATTATAAGCACAAGAACAACACAGGATGCCCTCAGACTATCAGAATACAGACATATACATCCAATTATGTACCTAGTCACAAAAATTGTTTTCATAATGGGTTAGCAATACATCGAAAACAACTGATCTAAACTCCGCCATGTTAATTCTATCCTTGTTTTAATACTTTCTGAAGCCACAGAATACAAAGGTGCATTTCTCTCTGAAACATTTGTGTCAAGAGGAAAGTTCACAGAACACTGTCATAACTCAGAGTAAATGTCATGTCCACAGCCAAGATACAACCTCCAGCTATAAACATAGGAAGTGGTGGTGAAACAGCTGAAGACCCAGTGCCAAACCTGACATGTAAAAAAACTCCTGCTCCTCAGTGAAGTGGGAGCTGGGAGCAAGGTTTGCGTCACAGTGATCTCAGCCAGGAGGCTCCAGCATTGGGAATCAGGATCAAATTGGCCCCAATGTATGAGTCAAAGTCAAACACCTGTGGCTTCCCAAGATGTTCCAACACTGCATGGCAATGCACAAAACCAGAACAGCTGTTTAAGGGTGGAGAACAACTTGTATAAATGAGCAGTCTCCAATACTCTTCATGATCCGTAATGAGGACTCTCAGGAATGTGTTTCTTTCCTCTGCTGTGACTCCTCTCCTCCAACCACCCCACCCCCCCCTGAAACACAGTTAATTTGATAGATACAGCTTCCTGCACAGCTGCAGTGCAGGAGGAATGTAGGAGATGATGGAAAAAAACTCAAGACCTGACTTAGCAACCTTTTTAAATGAGGATAATATCACCAGTTACCCAGCCCAGCAGAAGTGAAGAGCAGCTGAACTCTGATCTCCATCATGGCACTCCCTTTAAGTGACCAGTGAAAGACTTTCTTCCAGGTTAAGGTACTTCGAGAAGCCCAGCAACCAAACAATGACAGCCAAAACCTCCTCAAAGAAGAGAATGGGTCAGTCTTAGATCTGAAGCTGCAGCCATGTGCTAAGGAAACAACTTAGTCTGGACTGATCCACTACACCCTGCTGACCATAAAGCCAAGCACACCACGGCCACAGTCAGGGGTTGCTGGGTCTGTTTGCTCTTGCAAAAGAGCAGCGATCACCAGGACTTCTCAAGTCAGCTCTTCTTCAAACAACTTCTAACTGCCACCGAGGACACATCCTGCCTTTAGCCTTTCACTCAGCTTTCACATTCTAGCTTGCATTTTTAGACTCTGTTTCTGTAAGTGAGGAGGCTGGCATCAGTAGTCATTATAAACCAGATGCTGACACACGACAAATTGGAGAAGTCAAAGATGCTATAGATAATTAACCATTAATTATTAATTCTAGAATTAACACATGTCACTATAAAAATATTCATCATCATAAAGTAATAAAGTATTTTCCGGTAGTTTCATTTTTTAATTTTAATTTAGGAAAGTTTCAATTGACCTTTTGAATATACTTTCAGAAGAACAGGAACTAGTACACAAAGTCAATTTCTATTCAGTCTGGAACTTCTCAATACATTCATGTATTTGGACTCATGAAATGGAAATAACTGATTTTCACCACAGCAATTTTAATAGCATTATTGCTAAGGTCTTGTCCTCAACTCTTGGAAAGACACAGCTCTCTTACTTGCACATATTCAATGCAGAACAGCTCCTCAATGCACAACTTGGACTTCACTGCAGATGACATTTCCTTTCAGTCAACATTCTATGGAATGTGAAAAACTGGAAATAAGATGAGATACATAAGTGTATGGTAAGAATATGGACCTGATGATTTACAGGAATGTCTCCTCCTCTATGTCAGAGCCTGTCAGGTGACAGATAGCAAAATGGACAGTAGACATTAATCAGAGGATAGACTATGAGCTGCAAATATAACATAAAGGCAAATTAAAATGCAGGTTTACCACAGAAGATGCTATATTTGCTCACCTATCTGATCTGATCTGTTTGTCTCTCTCTCTGCCCTCCCACCCCCTCCTGAATGGCAGACCTCCCCTCCAGCATCTCAGCTGCTCATTGTACTTCATTTGATTTCCTGCATCTATAGTGAGACATAAAAATCTATCTAGAGGCACCTCCACCAAAATGCTAACAAGGAATACAGTTGGTACATGTATAATGGCATCGGATAACCACAGACTAAAAAAGCAACTTGACATATGGAGGGACAAAGAAGTCATACACTGAACAATAAGGCCTAATAACTTTGGCTAACAGCATGGATAGATAGAAGAGTTTTACAAGTTATGTGTCACAACCATTAATATGGTCTGAAGAAAGAACACTGTTGCAGCCAGTCATAGAGCCCATTGAAGTCCTGGTTTGGGACTGCAGAGATTTTTCCCTGCTGGCACAGAGTCCCTCTATACTGAGGAAGAGATGATGAACGCTCCCTGACATGCTAAGATAAAATTCCTCATTCATGCTACTACTCTTTACATTATTAATGCTTCAGTCATTGCCACAAAACATGGAAAAACCTCTATGTGCCCTATATGAGAGTAGGACTTTTAATCAGAAATGTGAACCGCTACCCCGAAACCCCGAAAATTTTCAGGGAGCTTGGTGGATTGAAATATGGAAATGCATTCCTGAACAGAAGATTATCATGTTGATGAATAAGTCAAGGTCCATAGCAAGCGTTATCTGCATTTCAAATATCCCCAGAGAAACAAGAATCAAGTCCTCAATATTAGAAGGGTCATTCTTCTACTCCTCTCAAGGCATATTTCTCCTCTTACAAAATAATCAAATTAAATAAAG